ATCCACAGTGCCGGGATCCACGTCATCTTCCCCTCAGTGTTCACCTTCACAGGTCAGTCACCGATCTGTCACAACACTGGCTTTATAGTCTCCGCTAAGCTTCCTGGCTGCTGTTCCTTTTTGAGTTAGCTGCAAACTGCTAACAGCTGCTTTTTAAATCTTCCGCTGTGGGTCGCACACATAATGCGTTACCCAGATGTCACACTTGTCTTTCTGGCTTTACGTTTTACATAGACCTTGTTTCTGGGCTGTTAACTACCTCCGTTTGTGGCTCAGTGGCGAGACAACTCTGTTCCTGCTTTCTGCGATTGTACCGTGTATACAGAACGACGAAGCGGCATAACTGCAATATTCCCGCCTTGAACAGGCAGTGTAAAAGTGTCTAGAGCTGCTTTAGAAGCTGCAAAGAGGAACTTATCAGTACTTTTTTCTCACTGTAAATCTACACTGGAAAGTTTCCTTCTGTTGCTCCACATCCTCACAGCCTTTTCTCTCGTGTAAAGGTTAAACTTAATCCATGCTGAAAACGCTAAAGCATAAATCTAACTCCTTCCTTGCTTGTACAATGATGCACGCTAAGCATTTGAAGAGGGGTTATGTTTGAAGAGCATACCAGTCTCATTTGCCATTTTTCCTGATTATATCATCATACTGGGACTTGACTTTGTGTAGCAGAATGTGTGCTGAAGACTCAGCCTGGAGAGTGCTTTAGCGGGCAGTCAAGTGGACCATTAAATGCCACATCAAAGCCCGCCCTCTTCATCCTTCTCATAACATGTATATTTTGTGTTTATAGGTGCAGCATCAAATGCTCTGCGTCAGCCCTACCTGTGGTTAACCATCATCCTGACTGTGGGCATCAGCCTGCTGCCCGTCATCTGCATCCAGTTCCTCTATAAAAACATCCGGCCCTCTATAGGAGACAAGGTGAGACCCCAGTCAGGTATCAGGCTGCCAGCCTGCTGCTAAGCCTGCCTGAGTTATCAGCAGTATCAGGAAAATGTGCAGACCACCCCCACCCTCCAAGCAGGACAATGTGCCATGCACATGGCAAAAACTTCCCAGGAACCAATCTGATTGAGCATCTGTGGGACGTACCAGTACCCCACCTTGCAACCCACAGGACTCAAAGGATCCTCCGCCAGTGCCCCAGAGCCAGACACCACAAAACACCCTCAGAGGTCCTGTGGTGTCTGGCACCTGTCAGGGCCAACTCCGATCCAAGAAGCCCCCACCGTGGATCAGGGTTACCTCAAGGGTACCGACATGTTCCATGGAGGCTCGATCAGATTGGGATCTGGGGACCATGGAGACCAGCTCGACACCTTGAGCTCTATGTCACTTGACATTTGAAGGGTTTCTTTAGCTGAAAGTTTGCAGGAGTAGTGTATCGAAAAATGTACGGAAGAAGAATAAAGATGTCAGTAACAATTATGTGAATGCTGCTGAATCAGCATAGCTGAAATAGAAGTGTTTCTCTAATGTTACCCGCTTACTTTCCATCATCCCCCAGATCCAGAGAAACAGGAAGAAGTACGAGATGGAGTTGGCAGAGGAGGAGAAGAAAAAACCGTCAGCCTTCCAGCGTGGCCGTCGTTCCCGCCGCTCTGCCTATGCCTTCTCTCACTCCCGGGGCTACGCCGACCTCATTTCATCTGGGCGGAGCATTCGACGGCGACCCACGGGCCGCGGTGGACCCCAGGACAGCATCAGAGAGGCTCCCCGGGGAGAGGCCGAAAACATCTGAAGGGGGCTGAGCAGGAGATGGAGCAAAACTGTAGCCAGAGGGGTTGTAAATATTCGGGAAAGTTCGTGGAGTGCTCGGTTTGTCTTTTTTTAACTGTGGAGTTGCTGCTGAAATGGTCAACATTGGAAACTGCACAGAAATGTCTCTTCCTTTGGGGTATTCAAGTCCCTGAGGGGGGTGAAAGAAAAGCACTCCCAGAGTCACTCAGCTTATAGGAATGAAACAACGGCCGTTTGCTTAAAGTTAAATGAAGCACTACTGAACGTGTCTTTGCTCCAGTCTGTGACTGCCCACTTCCTCCTCTATGCACAGACTCTGTTAAAATGCAAAAAATCCCAAAAGCTCACCGAAGAGACGACTGCCGTTTAGCGGGGTTTGAGGTCATGCAGCGACTGTGTGACCGACAATGTTGTTTAACTCAGGATTTTTAAAATAAAAGCCTTATTTTTAGCCAGTGTGTCCCTGCTCTCCACGACTGTGGCCGGAGCCGTAACCTTATTTAATATGATACTTCTTTTGACATTCACAGTTTTAGCCCAGTGTCTGTGGTTGTTGGTGTTTTATCAGAATCAAAAAATACATATTCCAGTCAATTTGTCCATTATCTAATCAAACTGTTTTATTTCTACCCATTGAGATAAAAATTCCTTCACATTAAAACAATGGGCTAAAGCTAAACATGTCAAGGTATCCTCTTTTAATGTTTTATTATTAGTAATAGTGGGATGTTACTATGCCAAGCTATGCAAGGTGGTCGGATGTCATAAAGTTTGTCTTAATTTAAAAATAAGTTGTAAATAGTGATCTCTTCTCTTCTGCTGCATTGATTGTCCAAAGTGTCCTGACAGATTGATGTTTTAGTCTCTAATTCGAGGGACTTTGTTTCAGCCTTAAAACCTTTTAAATACCTCTTTCAACCCTGAATCCTTACGTTACTTGTTCTATACCTCACCTTTTGTTCTTTTATTTAACTGAGGTGCTCTATAGGGAACCTGCAAGTCTGAACCTCCAGTTTGTCTTCCTTCCAGCAGCAGTGTTTTCAAGCACTCCTTACTTCTAATGGGGAAAGAAACACAGCAATGAGGTCAAGAATGATCTCTATTTGATTTTGTCTCACTAGTTTGTTCCTTTTTTTTTAACTTCTTGGAAGTTAAATCACACGTTCCTTAAGTCATGATTTCCGTGTGTGTGTTTCTGGTTGTTTACAGCAAACCCAAAGATGTTGTTTGTCTTTTTCTAGTCCTATAATCAGACTAAGCATATCCGCTAACCAGTGCTAAGCCAAAACTGACACATCCCTGCTCTGACTGTTACTGTATCCCCTTCATGCTAGTGTTACCATATGCAGATGATGTCTTTTTATTATTGAATGAATGGCGGCAGTAGATGAGGACTGCTGTTGATTGTACCAGCGACTGTCACATGATGGTATTTTATCACGTGGTTGTTAATAAAAGCCAAGGGCACATTTAGCAATCTGAAACGAGTGTTTATTTTATTGTGGTGTGTGTATATGCCTCTTGTTTTATGTACAAATAGCAATTTTGATTTAACATCATTAGGTAAGAGAAATATGAAAAAGTACCTGAGTTTTGGTGCATACAGGGGTGTTTTTTTTATTAAAACAAAAAACATTTTTATTTAACATTTTATAAGTCAAATAATGTTTCCTATTTTATTAAGACAAATGTCCAAACCAAATCTTTGTGTAAATAAAGACCTAGTTATTCATCTGCAGTAACAGGTGAAACGAAATAATACAATTGAAGTGAATAACATGTCCATAGATCTCACTCAGCACAGACTTTTTATGCCTCCCTGCTGGCGATTGATGTGCCCGGGGGCGTTATGTTTTCGGCAGCACTCCCTCTTGTGTGGTATTGCTTAATTTAAGCAGCAAAACTAAGAACTACTCAAAGTTGACAGAGGACACAACTAAACTGAAGTTAAAATCTGCTGCCGTTCATGAATAGATGAATGCTTCCTCCTGAGCAGTGACACGGTTGAAACAAAGACAGGTTTTACATGAAACTTCTCACAACAAGGTCCTGAGTAACCGGGTCATGATATCTGGAAATGCTCCACACCACAAGCTGAGTGCCATCTAGTTCCATTATATTCAAAGACAGACATCTCTAGGGCCGTTATCTTCAACGCTCAGCAACTTCTACCAAAACATAGAGGCAAAATATGTATTGATTTTAGGGTGAAGTGTCCCTTTAAACCCAAGATTCTCATTTCTTTTGTTAATGGTCCAACAGTCGTGTGCTCATAAACAAAGTCCAGTTTCTGTAAAAGTGAGAAAATAATTAACAGGTAGCTGTGGCTTCTCCTGGCCAGTGAGGGAGGAGTTTAAAGAGTTTAACTGTTTATCTGTGGAACAACTTTGTCTTGTCTTTGACATACATACATCTTTATCTCTTTGTCTAACATTATGTCATGTTGATTCATGAACGTGAATAATTTATTGAGAAGAAAATAATTAGTGAAGTTGCTTGTACAGTGATGTATAATTTGCGCAGAGCAGTACCTCTTTTAATCTGGAGTCACATGGCTCTTTCTTGCTGCTGTATAACGGCTGCAAGTACTTACTCTGCGAAAAGGAGATGAAACGAAACTCTACGAGCAGCTGTGGGCACCTTACTCACCAAACAGAATATTATTTTGATTAAATTACTATGATTGAGAGCAGCGAATTTGTTTCAACATGAAGGGGGAGACATATGAAATGGGTGATTTGGGGGTCCTCCGCCAGATAATTTTGAGCATCAAACTCTTAATTTCCTGCATTCTGGGGATCTTCTGGGAATTTATGGCTGCTATTTTAATGTTTTTATTGGGGAGAACAAATGCACATGGTCTAAATATTGAGGGGTGAGACGTGTGCACTACGTCCCCCATGAAATCTACACCTTTGGTGAGCTAAAACCTAATAATGTCACACTGCTTTTCCAAGATGAAATTATCCTGAATTGCTGGGACAACTGGGTAAAAAAATGGCAATATTCAACATTGCAAAAAGTTTTAGCTGCATACTGAGAGCAATAAATGTTTTGCTTTCACATCAAGTTTTATGTACAAGTGATCTTTGCTCTGTGTTGTTAAGAGGGCCTATGAACACAATCCAAGTCTGAACCACTCATCGTCCAGGAAGTAACCGAAGTCTGATTTGATAAGCCCTCTAGCTTACACTCGTAAATGCACTAAATGCAAGATATTTCAGTCCAGACATTCACTGTGTCTGAGAGGTGAAATGACGCAGCGAGGAATTCAGATGGATGAGGAAAAACTCTCCTGCTCGATCTGTCTGGATCTACTGAAGGATCCGGTGACTATTCCCTGTGGACACAGCTACTGTATGAGCTGTATTAAACGCCACTGGGATGAAGAGGATCAGAGGCAAATCCACAGCTGCCCTCAGTGCAGACAGCTCCTTATACCGAGGCCTGTCCTGGTGAAAAACACAGTGTTGGCAGATTTAGTGGAGGAACTGAAGAAGACTGGACTCCAAGCTGCTCCTGCTGATCACTGCTACGCCGGACCTGAAGATGTGGCCTGTGATTTCTGCACTGGGAGGAAGCTGAAAGCTGTCAAGTCCTGTCTGCAGTGTCTGGTCTCATACTGTGAGCAGCACGTCCAGCCCCACTATGAAATTGTTCCATTAAAGAAACACAAGCTGGTTGACCCCTCCAAGAAGCTTCAGGAGAACATCTGTACTCGTCACAATGAGGTGATGAAGATTTTCTGTCGCACTGATCAGCAGTGTATCTGTTATCTGTGCTCCATGGATGAACATAAAGGCCATGACACAGTCTCAGCTGCAGCAGAAATGACTGAGAAGCAGAAAGAGCTCGGGGTGACTCGACAAAAGATCCAGCAGAGAATCCAAAACAGAGACAAAGGTGTGAAGGTGCTTCAGCAGGAGGTGGAGGCTATCAATCGCTCTGCTGATAAAGCTGTGGAGGACAGCAAGAAGGTCTTCACAGATCTGATCCGTCTCATTGAGAAAAGAAGCTCTGATGTGAAGAAGGAAATCAGATCTCAGCAGAAAACTGAAGTCAGTCGAGTCAAAGAGCTTCAGGAGAAGCTGCAGCAGGAGATCACTGATCTGAGGAGGAAAGATGCTGAGCTGGAGCAGCTCTCACACACAGGGGACCACACCCACTTTCTACAAAATTACCCCTCACTGTCACATCTCACTGACTCCAAAGACTCATCCAGGATCAATATCCGTTCTGTGCGACACTTTGAGGATGTGACTGCAGCTGTATCAGAGGTCAAAGATAAACTACAGGACTTTCTCAGTGATATGTGGACCACAATCTCACTGACAGTGAGATCAGTTGATGTTTTGCTGCCACAGGCAGAGCCCAAGACCAGAGCTGAATTCTTACAGTATTCACGTCAAATGACACTGGATCCAAACACAGTAGACAGTCGACTGGCACTATCTGAAGACAAGAGGAAAGTAACAGTAATACAAGTGATAACGCTAAAGAGGTCATTACACTTCCTTGAGAGTCAACCAGGCTCACACAGTGACATGTACAGGTTTCAGGTCTTGAGCAAAGAGAGCCTGACTGGACGATGTTACTGGGAGGTGGAGAGGGATGGTGGTGCATTTTCAGTAGCAGTCACATATGCACATATGAGAAGACCAGTGCATGAAAGTGTATTTGGGAACAATGACACATCTTGGGCAGTTTATTTTTTGAGTAATAGATATGAATTCAGACATAACAACATCATCACTCCCATCTGTGGTCCTCAATCCACCAGAGTAGGAGTGTACCTGGATCACAGTGCAGGTATTCTGTCCTTCTACAGCATCTCTGACACCATGATGACTCTCCTCCACAGAGTCCAGACCACATTCACTCAGCCTCTCTATGCTGGACTTAGCGCTTATGGTTTTATTTGCTCTGCTGAATTGTGTGAACTAGAGTAGATAGGTGTTGTATAACAAGGCAAAGGCTGCAAATGTACTTTTAATTTGTAAATGTACTCTTCATCTTAGTGACTCAGCTGTCTGTGCTGGGATGTTTCTACACTGAACTGTCAGTCAAACTGGGACTGTGACATTGGGTTTCTGCAGGTATATATAGTATATGTATATAAGATGAATATCTAATTAACAGAATGTATTATTATAGGTTTTTCTCTTAAAATCCCTTAAGTGAAATAATATCAAAGGACTTAAATCATTTTTCACATAATGTTTGTGTATAAGAAAACTCTACTTCTGGAGGAGAAAAGAATCAGAGGGTTTGAGTTACTGGAAGCAACAACGATTGTTAAAGTCTACAGCTTTATCTTTTAGAGTAGAACTATATGAACAGAGAATGAAACTATAAACTGGGCAGTATAATTTTATTAGAAAGTCCTTTCCTTACAAATAAAAAGGTTAACTGCAAATGTATTCCAATCAGACTAAACATCTGCATTGTATGGTGGCCCTGAGGGTCAAAACACAGAATTTCCTGGAACACTACAACATTTCCCTAAACTCAACAACATTTAGTAAGACTCTTGTAGCTGATTAGATGCACTATCTGTCAGTCTGCGACAAACGGAAGCATTTTTTTTTCTCTTGGATTTTTTTGGTGGACTGGATGTCTTGATGCCTTAAATAAAGTTTTATCTTATACTCCCGACCTGAGAGAGGCAACAATGTGCTGCAAGACATCCAGTACTTCTGTTTGACAGTGCATCCAATTGGTGATGGTGAATGTTTGTTCTGTTAAACATTTTTGTGTTTTGCAAAATATTTTGTTGTTTTGTGAAATGTTGTAGTGTTTTCTGAAATGCTGTTTTGTTTCCGAAATGTTGTGTTGTTTTGTGAAATGTTATATTTTCCAAAAAGGTTGTGTTGTTTTCTGAAATCTTGTTATCTGAAATGCTGTTTTGTTTTGTGAAATGTTGTCGTGTTTTCCAAAAGGTAGTTGTGTTTTTTGAAAGGTTGTGTTTTTGTTTTCCAAAATGTTGTTGTGTTGTTTTGTGAAATGTTTTGTTTTCAAAAAAGGTTGTGTTGTTTTGTGAAATGTTTTGTTTTCCAAAAAGGTTGTGTTGTTTTGTGAAATGTCGTTTTGTGAAATCGTGTTTTCGATTCGTGTTTTCGTGTTTTCCAAAAGGTGGTTGTGTTTTTTGAAAGGTGGTTGTGTGTTTTGAAAGGTTGTGTTTTTGTTTTCCAAAATGTTGTTGTGTTGTTTTGTGAAATTTTTTGTTTCCCAAAAGGGTTGTGTTTTGTGATGTTGTTTTCCATTATGTTATTTTGTGAAATGTTGTTTTGTTTTCTGAATTGCTGTTTGACCCTCAGGGCCACTGTACATGTGAAGGTTTGATCAAGATCACAATAAAGACTGGATTACACAATCTAATCTGATTTCAGAATCTTTTTTTTTTTCTCTTGAACAACCCATTTTAAAGATTCGACAATCCGACAGCTGAAATCTGATCAGAATACTTATGAACAACTGGGCCCTGATGACACACACAGGTCCTTGTTTTAATCTAATAATTTCCTAAATTAGACTCAACACTGTGAAAGAAGTCCTCACTTCACAACTCAGTCACTTACATGAAACCTGAACCAAGGACATGTTATTGTCAGTGTAGAGACACTTCTCACAATGTGTTCCAGTGAAGCACCACAAAAAAGTGTAAACAGAGCTCAAACCACCTTCACAGTGAGGTGTACAATTCAAAGAGACAAACTGTGAAGGACAGAGAGGGAAATCAAACAGAAACAGTCAGTCTGAAAATAGTGCAAAAATGAAAAACTAAAATGTAGTTGAATTCTTGAAGAACTAATTCAAACATATTGAAAAATACCTTGGAAAAACAAAATTAAACTGTCAACATTAATTCATACACTGAGGAAACATAGTGGATTGTCTATGTGCACCAGGGTGAGAATAAACACTGCAGTTTATCGGCCATTTACACCCACCCCTACCATGTGTTATTATGGATCCTACCATTGTCCTATGATTGGCTTGTACTCGTCATGTTGATGTGTCGAGGTCTTGAGTCATGTGCGAGTCAGCTGTCTTCATGTTTTAAGACTTGAAATAATGCAACTTTATTTTCTAGAAATTAATGTTTTGTTTTTTTTAGTAAAATTCACAACTTTATTCACGTTACTTTTTTTCAAAATAGTGTAACTTTATTGTCTACATTTCTTCAAATTTGGCACAAACATCCACTTGAACTCAATACTGAACTGATTTAATTTTGGTGGTCAAAGGTCAAGGTCACTGTGACCTTGTTTGTCTAATTCTTGTTAACGCAATTACTTAAGAACACCTTGAGGGAATTTCTTTAAATTTGGCACAAATGTCCACAGGCAGTCCGTTGTTGATTTTCTGAGACACCTTGTTAACTTCAGGCTGTTAGATGCATTGGGTGTTTTCAAAATACACTTACGTTGTCACAGGAAATGCAGTTTGCATATAGTTGCTTTCAAAATAAACGTACTACGTTGGCACAAGAAAGCAAATTGACGTTTTTCTTACTTCAACAACAAACACACATGGTTATGTTTAGCCAAACACACATTTGGTTGGGTTTAGGCAACAAAAGCACGTGGTTAGGTTCAGAGAAAAACTGGTTTTGGCTTTACATTCAGATCAGTGAACACTGCCCCCCAAAGTGAAAACTGATTGTTGGACCCATCCATCACTCCTCCCACCTATAATAATAAATAAAAATAATAATAAATCAATTTTATATAGCACCTTTCAAGAAACCCAAGGTCGCTTCACGATTGCAAACAACCACAAAATCACACAAACAACCACAAAATCACACAGACAACCACAAAATCACATGACATGAACAAACAGAAAACACAACTAGCTGGCGAAAGCCAGCAGGAAAAGGTGCCTCTTTAGCTGAGATTTAAAAGAGTCCAGAGTTGGTGCCTGGCGAATCTCCAGCGGAAGCGAGTTCCAGAGGGTGGGTGCTGCCACACTGAAGGCCCTGCTCCCAAAGGTTTGCCTTCTAGTACAAGGAATTGAAAGGAGGCCCAAGTCCGCAGATCGCAGGTTCCGGGACGGGTGGTGAACTACTCAGACATTTCACCCCTTTCACTTACATTGTTGTCTAGCCATGTTTTCCCCTGACGCTGTCGAGCACTGTTACACACTGATGGCACCTAGCTGCGTATCATGCCAACGTTAAAGGACTGCTTTTTTGCCGTTTTCTGACATGGAGGTCACAACCCAAGCGCTGGTATTGGACGACTTAGGACTGAGACCTGGTTGTTCCTGTTAAGGCCCCAACTCTCTGGAACAACCTTCTCTTTTAAATCCCTCTCAAAATCACATTTCTTTGAACGTGCTTTCACAGGGTTTGTGGCCTGAACTCACTTTTATCTCTAAGTCACTTCGTAAACCCCATTTATATACAAAGGCATTCTCTCAGCTTTTATCTAATTGATTGTTTTATGTATTTTATTTTGACTTTTTTTACTCTACATGTTGCTTCATTTGTCCCATGTTGTATAACTTTTAAACTGCTTTAATATTTTTTCATTATCTATCTTTTTAAATTTTTCTAAAGCAGTGGTTTCAAACAAGTGGGTGACGGTCCAAAAGTGGGTCACGGGTCCATTCTGAATGGACCGCAAGTGACTCAGCAACAAGTCAAGTTTGTAAAAAACACACTTCATTTTGGAGTACATTAAATTTCCAGTGCAGTGCTTTTATTTTGAAGTGCTGTTTCCTGCTGTAGAGTGAGTGACTAAGGGACAGCTCCTTGACAGAAAAACTAGCTTGACGACATGTCCAAACGCAAGTGTGACGCTTAATGTATGAAACTGTGTAAAGCACTTTGTTTTGAAAAGCACTATATAAGTAAAGTTTATTATTATTATCATTAGGCAAACACTGTTTGAGGACAGTGGTTTAACAAACGGTTAACCCCTGATAAACTCAAACTGGTTCAGGGAAAGCGTGACTCACTGGGGACAAACAGAAAAAAAGGTATCATGAGTGACAGTGCTAAATTGAAAATATAATTGGAGAATGTAGGACATATGCTTTTCCTGTCAGCTGCTGAAAAGATTTCCCTTCCCTCGGCTCATAAATGTCACATGTTGGTAACTTGGGGATTATAGAGAAGCTCAGCTGTCCCCGTCATATTCACCCCTGTGGTTCTATTGCTCAAACTGAATCAAGTCTAATGTCACTGTGTTATCCCAGCAGGCCTGGTACCTGAAGGCAACATATCACTCACATGTGCAGTCACTATGAATTGATGTTGATATTGTCATCTCACTCAGACAGAAAGCAAATTTCCCAAAATGTTGAACTATTCCTCTGAGGCACCTCGCACAGATTGCAATGCAACTAACTCTGGGATAGAAACTGTGGTACGTGCTTTTGTCTCTTTGTGTCCTGATTATTGCTACAGCCTCTTTTTCTTGTCTTAATCAAAAAACTTTGGAACGACTGTCTCTTTGTAAAGAACTGAGCTGCTAGAGAGGCACGATGACATCACAGTAGTTTTCTCTTTATATCGGCTCCCTGTCCCTGTCAGGGTTGGTTTTAAGATTTTATTTATTGCTTATTGGTTTTCATGGCCTGGCTTCAGGTTACATTTTAGACCTTTTAATCCCTTATGAACCTGTGTGTAGTTTGATCTCCTACTGAATCCCTTTGTTCCTGTTCCTTCTGGATTAGATGGACCCCAGGAACCAAATAAGAACCCAACTGAGAAATGGTTAAACATATTAACTTGTATTAATTTAGAGTATGTGAGGGTTTTAATTGATGAAGATAGGGCCAGCATGAAGGAGAAAAAAAAATGCAGGTTTAGAAAATAAAGTCAAAATATTTTGAGAAAAAAAGTCAGATTACAGCTACTCTTATGTTTCTTGCATTTCACACAGCATTTAGAAAAAATTTGAACATCCACAACTCCCACCTCCCTCCAACGTTCAATGCTAATGTTAGATAGTCGCGTTAACGTTACTAGTAAGTGGAAACACACAAGGAAGATAACGTTACTGTTTCAGAGGCTACGCTACAGTAGGCTAACGCTAGCCATTAGCAACTGGATTGTCATATAACGTTATATGTTATATTAGAAGCAAACTGAACATAACATTATCTGTCCTGCACAGTCACCCCAGAGTTTTGAAAATTACGTGAGCAGTTACGACAGTCGGAGGCCTCCACGTGGGGGAAGACAGACAGGATGCTAGACCAATCATTGCATTCGGGTCGGAGTTTTCTCAGAACCATATGAGAATGATATAATTATGAGTTTCTATTTCTGGTGGAATTCACTTACATTGTGTGCCATCAGCTTATTAATAGCATTTTAACCTAAACAAAGAAAAGTGTAAATTTTCCAGAAACGTAAGTGTCACTTTAAAAGTAAAAAGTCCTATAACTTTTTTTTTTCTTGTATCTCTTGTATGTTTGCAAGTACATCCTTACTCTTAATTCTCAACAGATGATTTTGTCGTAATAAAGTTTTCTTTCTTATGATATTAAGACTTTTTTTCTTAAAACAGTAACTTTATTCTGGTCATATTACGTTTTTGTAAAATTATGAGTTGTTTTTGACATATTATAACTTCTTTACTTGAAATAATACTTTTTTTTCACATATACCTTTTTTTTAAAAAATATTACAGCTTTTTGACTTTATTCTTCACATATTACAGTTTGCTTTGCAAAATTATGACTTTATTTTGTAGATACGCTGACTTTCTTCTCAAAATAACACAACTTTATTTTCAAAATATTCCCCTTTTTTGTAAAAATTACAACTTTATTCACAAGGTACTACTTTTCTTAAAATAGCAAAACTTTATTGTTTTCATATTATGTGATGACTTGACTTTCTCCTTGCGATATTCTTATTACCAACATATTACATTTTTTTCTCATAAATTTTGACTTTATTATTTAAAAATATAACACCTTTTTCTTTAAATATTATGACTTTTTACTCAAACAAGACTCCTCGATTAAAGTATTTTAAATTTATTCCCCAATTTTGTTACTTGAAGGAGCAGTGTGTGAGATTTATGGAGATTTAGTGGCATCTAGTGGTGAGGATTGCAGATTGCAACCAGCTGAAACTTCTCCTGGTTAGAATTCCTTCAGTGTTCATTGTTCAGGAGGTTTTTACTAGGAGCTTAATTATCCATAGAGGTCTCTGCCTCTGTAAAACAAACAGACCAGTTGATTTGACCCAACAAATCTGGCACATCAGCGACTTGCTTGTCACCCATTGCCTGCCATGTGTGCTCACTTTATTTCCTGATCACTTAAGATCCAGACGTTCAGAAGGTTTATTTCAGGAGCAGGGTTATCCATAGAGATCTCTTCCTCTCGAAAGCAAACAGACCAGATAATTTAAACCAGTCAGAACACTAAATAAATAGTTTTGCATTAAAAAACTATGTTTGTCTGACTTTGCTCATAATGGAGGGGCTGCTAACTATGGTGGCCGAGGTGATAATGCTAATGGAACCTCTCAAGAGCCAGTGTTTGGTTTGTCCGTTCTTGGCTACTGTAGAAACATGGCAGTGCAACATGGTGACCTTAAAAGAGGACCCTCTCCCTATGTAGATATAAACAAACAACGAAACACATCAAAAATCACAACAAATCATATTTTCAGGTGAATATACACTAAAGAAAACATACTTATATACATATTTTATTTCTCCCAATATGTCCGCCTACATGCTACACACTGGACCTTTAACAGTGGTTCTAATACTTCATCATGATGACGCACTGTTCCTTTATGAACTGAGATTATTGGGTTGTTTTCTATGTTCAGTGATTATGTTTGGATTTTCATGTCTTTATTTTGCCCTTTGGCTTTTGTGCAAACATTCATAGGAAATAAATATCTCTTTCGAATATGGCTTCACTTCCTGTTTCTGAAGATTTGCTCAGTTGTTTGTTCAGTCAGCTTTCAGACATTCATCACATCCTGCTAAAACTCGAGGTCCCAGCCAGACTCTTCATCAGGAGGAGGGTCGTCTGTGTCTTCGGGGAAGTAATCAAAGTTGCTGTTGTCCAGCGGTCCCTCCACCTGGTGGAAAGAAACAGGATGTTGATGCTCTTATCTGTGTACTGTTACCTCACAGAGACACTGAAGGATACCCACTGTGGGTGTGAATGGAGAGTCTATGGTTCCCTGGCGGAGGCCGTCCCAGTTGAAGCCTTCAAACCACCTGAAGGACAAAGACGTGTTGCCATGACTACAGTCCTTGCATCCTACAGAAAGCACTCATCCCATGACGTTAAGCATCTTTACTGCCTCACTTGTGTTTCTGGATGTCCTTCACTCCATTTTTCTGATTTCCCAGCCTCTCTGATGGGTTGTCCCTGAGAGAAACACACATTTACATCATTCATCTATAGGCCTCTGTTTCTCTTTACACAGCTATGGTGCATTAACAACCTGCAGAGTCGCTTGATGAGGTTCGCAGCACTCTTAGTGATCTTCTTGGGAAACTCGATCATGTCGATGCCTCTCAGGATGATGTTATAGGTCCTCATGGGGTCAGAGCCTGAGAATGGAGGACTGGAGACAGAGAGAGGAAACTGGGTTTTATTTATCTAACCCAGAACCCAAACTGAGTTCCTACTTTAAGACATTACTGAGGGTATAGGTACACTGTGCCTATGGCGTAGGCTCCAGCATTACTTTAATTTCACAGATAAGAAACAATAAATTGTGAAGACAATAAAGCCTCCACAAAAATAGCATTTTAAGTCTTGGTTTTATTCAAGTTCAAGGTAATCCGGAAATGGTTATTACCATGTCAGATTTCAAGGCGTCCTCCGTACAGAAACATGATAACAAGGTCCTGAGAAACATGCTGACATTAATGGAAATCTACTGGTGTACCTGCCACTGAGGAGCTCAAAGACCAGTATTCCCAGAGACCAGCAGTCAGCTGAGCTGTCGTGGCCTTTGTTCAGGATGATCTCTGGGGCGACGTACTCAGGAGTCCCACAAAACGTCCACGTCTTCTTACCAAGACCCACCTTCTTAGCAAAGCCAAAGTCCACCTGGGCAAAAGAAACATTATGAATATTCTCTCTGACCCACATTATTTGATATGTCTGAAAAATGTGTCCACACCAGCTTGGCATATCCTCTGTGGTCCAGGATAATGTTCTCAGGTTTGAGGTCTCTGTAGATGATCCCTCTGGAGTGCAGGAAAGCCAGAGCCTCGATGACACAGCCGGTGTAGAAGCGAGTGATGCCGTCATCGAATGATCCCCTGTAACAGAAATAAAGGCTGGTGTTGAGGATTTTATGGCTTCTAAGAGTTGAACACGCAAATGATCACGCACCTGTCTCGCAGCAGCGTCCACAGTTCTCCTCCGAGACAAGCCTCCAGCAGCATGTAGAGATATTTGGAATCTCTGAAAGTCCGATACAGCCTGCAGGAAGACAGTGTGAGTGTTTAAAAATTACATTTACAGGAATAGTTATTATGTAGAGAATAATCAAGTATGGACTTTTTTGATTAAAATCAAATTACGTATTTAAGTGGAAACACACAACTTTTCAACCACGGACTCTAAAAATAATGATCGTAGCCAACATGATGTCACCCATTGGTTTGTGAGCTACCATTTGAAGCCTCAAGCTTGGCATTTTGCCCATCACCATCTTAGTTTTTTGGAGCCAAAAGTGACCATATTTGGACAAGATGGTAGAGCTATGTAGAAGTGATGTGTGGATCTAACTGACAACCACAGGACACCACTGTGGAAGCGAGGTGATAGCTGCAGATAGCTATCAGGATACCAGAATACAATCCCTCCTGGATGTTAACATTACTCAGTCACAAAAATGAACTCAAACCCCGCCGCCTACCATCACAAATTTTTTCTAACTTTTAGAAAAGCTGCTGTGAAATCAGGCATTTCAGGCTGTGAAATATGAAAACAAAAGTGCTATCTTCTTTTTGTTTTGGTCACTCAGTGGTTGACTTGCTTCCTTCGTGCCGTAAATTGAACCTTTATATCCCTGTGAGATGGTACCCAGTGTAGATGGAACTGCACAGTGAAAACGAGGCTTATAGGGGACCAACCTAAATGCAGATGGTGTCATTATTCTGTGGACAAACCACTGTGCAATCAACATTTACACGGCCAAAACGTTAATAAATTTGATCATCTTGTTACAATACGATGTTCTGTTGGGAAACCTTGGGTCTTTGCATTCAAGTGACATTACCTGATGGCAGTGCATCTGTCTTGATAATTTTAGTTGCCACAAAATGAGCACAGACCAGAGTGGTAACATTACCCCAAAGTAAAAGCCAGCTCTTGCCACCACTTTGATCCTCTTAAGTGTGAAGCACTCTTTTAATTACACCTGAATAAATCCTCAGTGTGACCTGATGATGAAAGGACTGTGAGCCTCCATCATGATGTTCCGCTCTGACAGGATGTGACCCTGCTGGCTGGTGTCCAAGATGTGACGCTTCTTCAACACTTTGAGGGCAAAGGATCGAGTGGGATCATTCTTTAGCTGCACCTGAACGCACAAACATGAAGCACAAATCGTTACAGACAGACAGACAAGATGTCTTTACACAGCATCAGCTGCTACAGAGCACATACTCACCAGCTCCACTCGACTGAAGCCTCCCATCCCCAGAGTGCAGATGATGTTTAAATCACTAAGTGACACACTGGAAAAGAAATCTGCCTCCGCCTGCAGTCTGAAGAGAACAGAGGAGGACGCATTATCTAACTGAAAGCATTGATGACTGTCCTTCAAAGCCTGAAGATGTCCAGGCTGTACAGGACAGCATTTCCACCCAACCCGGGCGGTCGGCAACCTTTCTGATATGAAGTGTCATTTTTTAAATTTTCATGTTAGAGGTATACTATTCAGGACTGTTGGTCACTGTTTGTAAACACACTCCCCAGGCCTCAGATTCACTCTTGTTTGGCGTTTAACCTCACTATACTTACGTGATGATATTGAGGGATTATGTCAAGAAAAAACGTGGCTATATCTTCACCTTTTGATTGCCATGTCTGCATCTCTATCAAGCTATACTGTCATTCTCCACCTGTCCACCAGGTGCCCTCAGTCTTTCCTCATCCCTGTCACCTGACTCTCACTTCCACCTGCTCACCTGTTTCCACTTTCAGTCCTGCAGTATATAACCGGCCCTTCTCTTGACAGATTCTCATTGTGGTGTTGTGCCTGCACTGAAACCTTTGTCCTGTCCTTGTTCCTACAAATTTGACCCCTGAAACCTGCCTCCTTGTTCCTGGATTCAACACCACTTCGTTTAAACTTGCAGGTAAGCGTATGGACCTTCACCTCCACAGTAAATCCCTAAACCGATCTGAGCTACGTCATGCTGAAATTTAGTCCTCTGCCTGAACTTCCTGTTTCAGTCATGCTGGAGGTGTTTAAGAACAGTTAACAGGTCTGATCTTTGTAGGATATCCATTGTAGAAACATTTTGTTTCAAGTAAAAACCCTGCATTCAAAAAGATCCTGAAGTAAGCACAAGAGTATTGGCATTAAAATATGCTTAAAGTACCAAAGGTAAAAGTACTAAAAGTAGTTGCTGAGTAGTTTATGAATTCATTGAGGTGAATAAATTAAGTCTGATCTGTATCCATTGTTACATTTTTTTGTTGATTGTCTTATCAGTCTGAAAATGTAAAGTAACTGATGCTGCGAGTAAATGTTGAGCAGTAAAAAAAATCATCATTTGGGGGTGACATAAAGTGGGAAACTCTTTGTTTGGTATTTTCAACGTGGACCCTATTTACCATGTTTTTGTGTTTAAGTGACTAGTAGCGTCTTGGCATATGATGCCATACATCAATGTAAGGTCCAGGTGGAGGGCAGGCAACTGGAGGAAAAGACTACCAACACTGAACATATGCCTTTGATATCGGCTACGGTTGTTCCAATCAAATTGGGAAATAACAAGAGCCACTTTAACGGCCAAAAAACGTAGGACATAAAGGGAGAGAAAGAATCACTGAGAAAAGTGAGAAGACTGGAGGAGCAGAGTCAACTGATTTCAAACGCTAACATTAAAGTAATGTGTTAAACATGCCTTCAGATGAATAGAATTACAATAAACTGTGACCATTACTCTGTGTTTTTAGCCACAATCCAGATTTTCAACAGAGTTTCAGCAGACCTCTGAGAACGGTTGAACGAGTAGGTAGAAAACAGTAGCTAACGTTAGCTAACATTAGCTAGTAACGTTAGCCTGACAGCGGTGCAATCATGTACAGAATTGAAATATAAAAGACTGTTCTTCTCAAACTCACAGCAGAACAATGTTTGGCTATTGTTCCAGTCGTGAACCCATTCATACAAAAACTATAGTCCACCAGACTCTTGTACGCTTTTATCAGCTCGCCATGTAACATGAGGAGGCCTGGAGGACGAGGTCATTTGTAACGATGATCGTGTCCACACCGGACAAAGCGGTCTAGTTGTGTTTGTATGTTACGTTTTGTATGTGTCACATTCAATGAGTTTCAATTATCTGACAATACCTGCTGCCTGCACGTTCATCCAATCCTGTTATGTCGCCACTTTCCTCTATATCAAGTATACAGATTGATCGATTCCTGCCCTCTATCTAAATTTTGTGCATCATATTAGTTATGTGAATGCAAACAAGCCTTGCTCCAACAGTTTTTTTTAAATTGCTCCAGTGTTGAACGAGAAGCAAAATGTTCACATAGTGACATCCACTAAAGGTGTTTATGTCAATGACAGGCTCAAGCCCTTTGTAAACAGGAATTGTGCAAATTTGCAGGAAAGCCCAATCAGTCTTTTTTCAGCATTGGCAGTATAAAAACAAAATCGGGGAGTGCAGCAAAATGCCGCCTACCTACTTTTGTTTAAACAGAATGTGCCTTTTTAGGGGCAATGGGGGGCGTGAGCAAGTAACAAAACGTGTAGCTCAGCGTGTGACGTAAACAGTGACGTGGAAAGGCAGCGCGGCTGGTCAGTCCTTCGGCGATTCTCTCATAAGTCGGCCCGTTCTTCACCGTCCCCGTCATCTGACGGTTAATGGCCTCTTTGTTTGCGCGGACAAGGAGGACACGTAATTCCTTGTCTCCCCAGTTGCTCATCTTTACAGTGTCTGTCAGGTTTGTGTTTCCCTCTTGCTACTAGCTGCTCGCTAATTCCTGCTATCAGCTGTTTCCTGTTTATCCACCGCCAGTGGCTCGCACGTGCGGCGTCATCAACAGCTCCTCCCACAAGTCTGTTTAAACTTAAAGGGTTCCACCAATATGTCTACCCAACAAGGCGGAAAATTGGGCACCTTGAATCAACTTGCCAATCCGGCTCTGTGTGTCTAAACGCTCGCAGCTTGCCGGCAAAACGACCCAACATTCGCAGAAAATCAGGCAGTGTAAAAGGGGCTTCAGATTGTTGTTATTGTACTGTAAGTGTCTAACAACATTATGGAAAGAGTAAGATCTTTTTTGTTTAACAAAAAACAGCTGCATAGTCGCCATCTCCAAACCCACCAGACTCCACTTAAATTAACAGTAATTTTAGCGTGTATAAAGGCAGAATATTTTCACATCTAACTGGGCGAATTAAGGGTTAATTTCGACCAACTGTTGGAACAGTGGTAAGATGAACAAAGACGACTTTTGTGAGTTTTATTTTGTCTTTGTTGACTTTGAATGAAGTATGTTTTATGACTTATATAAATGCAGTTTGACTTAACTTGACTTAAACCCTTTTGCTCCTTGGGGAGCATAGGTCGTTCACGAACTTTCTCCAGCTGGTTCAGTGTTGGGCGATCTTCTCTGCTTCCTTCCAGAATGTTCTTGATTCCTTGAGTTCTGCCTCGACAGACCGTCTCCAGGTGTTCTTTGGTCTTCCTGGCTTTCTTTTCCCCAGTGGGTTCAAAAATAAGGACTGTCTGGTCGTGTTGGAGGGAGGTTTCCTCAAGGTGTGCCCAATCCAGCCCCATTTCCTGCGTTTGACTTGTGCTTCAAGTGGTTTAAATGGTCTTTCTCTGTAGGGATCCTGTCCGTAATGTTAATAATAATGTAGACAATGGTATACAAATACCCCCAAATTATTTACATTGCAGCCTGTTTCGCTGCTGGCTGCAGGGCTCTCACTCTTTACTGGACCAGTTTAAGAAATTGCTGTTCCTACAGTCACTTAGACACAAGAATGTGAAAACAGAGTCCAGGTTGAAATGTACCAAATTTACCTTCTATCAGTCCTTAATGTACTTAGCTACTTTCCACCATTGTGTAAAAGTGACTCAGGCATTTAAACTTGCCGGAACATTTACATAATGAACTGCGTGTTTGAAAAGGGGTTAAGAGCTGAGAAAGGTCAACTTCTGAAACTTTCACAGCACTTAGTGTTCATCCGACCTTCTACAGCAGCTGTTACATAAACCTCTAAATACATAATCACAAATACTTAACTGGATACTCCAAATATACCAACGCACTCACTTTGCCTTGACCTCGTCACTGTCATACTGCTTGTTGTTGACGTCATCCAGTCCTCCGATCAGCTGTTTGAACGACCTGGGACACAAAGATATCTTTTGAAGGGCCGGGTGCAATGTGAGTCACAGACTTCACCACCGTATACAAACTGATGTTCATGGTTCACAAAGAGCCTTACTCACTCTCTATCAATAACCAGACATGTGACGTTTCCCACTGCCGTGACGCTGGCGGTACGAACATCCTCCCTGCAAAGAGGACAGAAAAATAAGACATGAAATAGAGTCTTAGTTTGCACAGTATGACTGGTGGAGGAAGGACTCAGATCTTTAAGTAAAAGTAGTAATACCACTGTGTAGAAATACTCTGTTACAAGTAAAGTCCTGCATTCAAACTCCTGCTTACGTTAAAGTACCAAGTATTAGCATCTAAACCTAGATTATTATTTTATAATCATTGATAGGTTAGTATACATGACTTTATAATTGAGTTATGTTAATTTACTGCTTTGTAGCTTCATCTATATTTAGTATTTCATATTTAAAGTTCAGCTAAATTCAACCGAAACCAAGGCATACCCAAAGTGCACTGAAAGCTGTTCTTGTTCAGTTCTTAGTACATGCATGGTCTTATTTGAAAGGTAACACTGACTTCTTTTCTCTAACAGAATCACTGACCACACTGAAATAATTTATTCTACTTATTCTTTAATCTCCATCTGGATATTTTCTTGAAAAAAGATGCTGCAGATGACAAGAAGTGGGACTAATTACCTGGGAAACACAATGGGACAATAGCATGAAGCCTCACATAGTCAAAATTCAAAAGTAGATAACAATATAATAGAAAAATAAAAATTTTACACAGGTTTTTCTGAGGTTTTGTCCAGGCACTCTTACATCAAAATTACAAAATTAACTGAACAACATTACATGCTGAAAGACTCCTCTCACCCTGCCCATTATGTGTTTGACCCCCTGCCCTCGGCAAAGCGCTACAGGTCAATCAAAGCACGCATAAATAGATTTATGAACAGCTTTCATCCCACACACTGCACTAAACCAACCAACCAAAAGCACCTTAGACAAATTCTTGACAGTGATGTACCTATTCCTGCGCAATACTCATGCCTCCAATTCTCATATACACAAGGAGGTGCAAATAGCTTTTCACATATATGCATTTGTAGATATTCTGTATGTATGTTTGAACTGCTGTGAGTTTTTAACTTAACTGCTTTTTATTTTACTATCTATCTATTTATCTTAGTCTTTTATTTTAGTTCTATTTGAGCTCCACTCTGAATTTAATTGACAAAGGGATTCTCATTCTGATTCTGAATCTATAAAGTAAATAGTGGAATAAAAAGGACAGTATTTGACGCTCTTTAATGCACAAATGAACTGTCAGGATTACATTTACTGGAATTTTACATTTTATATGATTACATGTGACGAATACAACTGATTGTTCATCTCAGAGGTACTTTTTATTGCGCTACATTTGTCTGACAGCTTTAGGTACCTCTCAGATTACAGTTTTTCAAGCCCTTCCTGTCCAGTAAAAAGCACAAATCTCCAGATGTGTTGATGATGAGTTGTTTGTGATAAACTGAAGGATGATTTGTGTTGAGAAAATTCTCCTAAACTCTTTAAAAACCCTCTTAGATAAGTTGAGAAATGTGTCATCATGAATCTGAAAACAGGGCTGTTTTTCGGACACCATGAAACGTTAGTTTTTTAGAGACACATGGTTCTCACAGGACAGCCACGCTACAAACATATGGTGATCTTATAGAATATGATCTATGCTGTAGATTAAACTACCCAACAGTATATAAAGGAGTTAAATGAGCATATCTACAGCAGGAATAATACCAACTATTGATACTTTGACTTGAAGTACTTTAGGCACTTTTTACTGATAATACTTTTATTTAATTAGCCTAAGGTTTTACTGCAGTTCTTTCACAGTGTGGTATTAGTACTTTTACGTCATGAAAGAATTTGAATACTTCTTCCTCCTAAATTAAACTGCCTCAGTGTTTTGTGGAGGATTTTAATGTTTGATGATACCATTTATAATTCTGTGTGCGTGTCTCACCCTTTCAGCGCCTGCTCCCCAAACCAGTCCCCTTTAGAGAGCGTCTTCACAGTCACCTGCTCGTCACTGGTTGAGTTCTGCTGAGACACTTTCACCTGTCGACACCACAGATCACAAGTCATTATTTTTAGGTTGTCACATTGTTTTGTCATTGCACAGTGATGCAGTTATTAGATTGATCTGAAAGCTCTCCCCATTTTTGTCTTAAAATCTGCCCTGACATTCGAGTCAGCTGCTGAGCAGACACACAACCAATATCACATTATCCTTTTTTCACAAAGTCCATTTGTCTTCTGGATTTGATTTTCCAGATGCATGTGATGTCTCAGCAGCGGGTACAGAGCTTTTTGGCAGCTGGTTAGTGTCAGTTTTACATACACCACCCTGACTGAGAATAGAGGGTTTATCTTATTATATAATGTATTATTTAAGTAAATAGATTTTTGTCATGCACTGAAATTAGTTTGTACTCCAAATTAAAAAATCCCATGCAGCCCAGTAACTATTTTCTCCACAGACCTCTACTTTAAAAGTCTCTAAAACTTGCCTCAGAGGTTGAATGTTAAAAGTATTATGACATTTTATGTTTGTAAAACTTTACCCGAGAAAGTTTTTTATTTCCACGATGTCACTGCAATGACCAGCAAACTGGGGGAGCAGAAACTTTTTTGGCTCAGTGAGCAGTTGTCATTCATTTAAATGGGATTTCATTTCCTATAATATGGATCCTTTACTCATCTGAACTACATGCTACAGACTGCTGTTATCCATCTGACCCACTCTCATCATGTAGCTAAATTCAGTGAGTTGTAGCATAAAATAAATGGTAAAAAAAACTCATTATAACTAGAATTACCACCTTATGATTGTATGCCTCTGTGAACCAGCAGCGCAGAGGATCTATACAGTCAGCACAGTTTTAAGGTGGACACCCAAGATTAGAGTCACCAATTCAGTATCTGACCAAACGTCTCCCCTTCTGTTCCTGAGTCAGGAATAATGTCCAGAAAAGTGTTTTGCAGAACATTATGATGTCACAGGGAAGGTGACCTTTGACCTTTTGGGTATAAAATGTCATGGCTTCATCATTTTACCCTGTTAGACATTTGTGGATTTTTTTTTATCATAATTAGCAAATTAATTCTTGAATTAAGGCCAAAAACATGTTTTGTGAGGTCACAGTGACCTTGACCTTGGGCCTTTGACCACTAAATTCTAATTAGTTCATTCTTGAGTCCAAGTGGATGTTTGTGCCAAATTTGAGGAAATTCCCTCCAGGACTTGTTGAGATTTTGCATTCATGACAATGAGTTGGACACAAGGTCACAATAACCATGACCTTTGAACACCAAATGCTAATCAGCTCATTGTTAAGTCTAAGGGAACGTTTGTGCCAAATTTACAAAAATTCACCTAAGGCCTTCTTGGGTTATCGCTTTGTCAAAAAGAGATAACTGCACCAATAGGGCAACAATTTAAAGAGGATGAAAGAGGAGTCTTAGCTGGCTACAGGCGACGTGATGCATCGTTTGAGCTTTGTCGAACTTTTGTCGGCCACCCTGTTTCTATTTGTTCCTGTTGCCCGCTTTGAAATAACGAGGAATGGTGAGTTTATGAAGTTTAAATGAGGAATTATCTTCAACAAACCACAACTCAACACAAAACAATATAATGTGTCAACTGGCTGGAAGGAAAACACCAGGGAGCTAAACGTTTCCAATAAGCTAAATGACCATCGCCAGTTACAAGCTAGGCTACTTGCTGTTGGCTATATAGACCCTTTTACTGTTAGTAAACAGTATGACGCCTTTTGGTGGGCGGGGCTTTGCTGGAGGCAAAACAATTTCCACAGACATTAGTTAGTGCTAGCTAGCAAGTTCTGTTGACTTGCTTTAGACAGTGGAGGAAGATGATGTGAGTGATGCGTTCAGAAATACTCATTTCTGTTGGAGCGCACTTTGACACAAACTGGACTGTTGGTAAATTTGGAGCGTTGTCTGAATGTGTGGTTAACTTAACCGTTGGTTCATTCATGTAGAAAAATAATGCTCCGTTTCTTCCACCAACAGGGCTCTCATTTTAGTGTAGAGCGTCAGACTGAATTTACCAACGCACCATGTCAGGTCACTCACTCTCCGGGACCGCCAGTGTTACTTGAATAAGTAAACACTGACCAACGGGATCAGACTGGCCAACCCGTATGCTCTCACTCAGTGGGAAATCCAATATTCCTCTTAATCCCTCCCCAGTGTCTGATGAGGTGGACATGATAACCCTTAATACACATAACGTTATTCATCCCTACAACAGGAAATACTTTTTCCCTAACCTGATATGAAGTGTGTGCTGCACATGTGAGCATTTTTCATCGTCCAGTCCTTTCGTCTTATTGCATTTAACCATAGCCATAAAATCTAACTTTTGAGCCATGACTCCTTCTATTCTGGCTCCCAGTAACACAACAAGATGACATTTTAAGACTCCTTTGTAGCCTACAGCCCTGTGGGGGAGTAGTCTCCGCCTTCTGATAGTCTGGGGACACTCCTTTCTAAAGTGTGTTTAACACACTGGCAAAAACGGCCGGCAACAAAGCAACGCCTCTTGCATTTTTGAAAAGGACACGCCTTCCTGGAAATGTGTGCTCCTCCTTTTCTCGTCCGCAAGGAAACAAACACACAGAGAGCTTGAAAATGGATGCCGAGAGATTAAACTCCGTTTTATCAAACGTGTGCTCATCCGTGAAGAAAATATTTTTTCCAGCGGATGTCTTAGTTACAACATGATTGAGCTAACTGGAGTAGTTTCATGTCGTATCCGACAACGGGAGGCTTTTAACAAATGACGTCCTGATGTTAGCTTTGCTGCTGCTGTTAGCTGTCCCTGTCAGCTGCAGCCACTGATGCTTTCTAGACATTGTGGTTTCCCAAAACTGAATAAATACCACACATAGCAACACAAAACTGCTTTGCTAGCTCAATCATGTTGTAACTAAGATATCCGCTGGAAGAAATATTTTTTTATTACCTATAACAGACACCGCTAACAGCTAAGAAATAGTAATGTTTGTTCAAACACTGTGTTTATAGACTTTACAAACATCGGATTAGTCTAAACGGTGATACAGTGATGTGAAAAATGTGATATATATATATATATATATATATATATATAGCTAAAAGCTCTGCTGGTTTTCTACCCGGAAGTATTTGTAAACAACAAGGCGATTCCCTCTATAGTCCAGCCGGCTGGACGGATGAGTCATGGCCTTGTAAAAGATTATGTTTGTTTCTTTTAGTTGGCGAGAATGTGTTGCCGCAAACGCGACAAACATCCACTAACTTTGACGCAATTTTCTGCGAGCAAAGCTGAGCCATTTTGTACCACTACAAGTGTTTCTAGTAGGACTATGTTTACAAGCACAAGAGTTCAGCGAGCCACCGAAGGACCGCCCTGCAGATTTACTATTGGTTCTGCAACGTAGGGAGTTTTTTTAAACTCTGAAATTGTATCTGCCCATCTAAACACAAAATCAGGGAGAAAGTTATCAGTCTTTAGTTAAGCAAAGCGTCTCAAGACTGACTTGTGAGTCTAGTGGGGGAGAGGCAGGTTTTGCCTCCAGCTAACAAACTGACGCCATTGTGATGTCAGCCCTAAAAGGGTCTATTGTGTCATTGCCAGTAAATATCATATTACGTGTGTTTCTGTTTTAAAGTCAGAAGATGGCAAGAACTCATCCATTTTTTAAGTGGTTGGGTCTCCAGTCTGATCTTGAGCACACGGCTAATAGGTAGTTGATGTGGTTTGTTTACATAAAGTGACAGGAAGTTCATCTTTAATGGATTCAATGTGGACAGAGAGCTCTGATGTTACTCGATGTGACACAATAGTTTTCTGTTGGGGCACATTGTTGTTATGTTCCACTTGGGAGAAGCTTACCCTGTTGGTAAGTTATTGGACGTCAGTTCCTACAACCATATACACAAACAGATACTTGGCTGTTGGACAATTGGGCTTTTGGTCTGATGGGATGTATCTCGGAGCATTAGGGTTCCAGAATAACAAGCCACCAGAACAATGGCATGGCACTGGGGTTGAAGCAGCAGCTTATGCTCATGAAAACTTTCCTTAATACTCACGATGACCTTTCACTCATTACAGTCTATGCACCATTTTTCCCCTTGAACATTAATTTAGGGAGGTGTAGGGCGTGCATAATGGATGGGCACTGCACCTAAATCGCCCCCCTTGGAACCACGTAGGCCAGACTCAAACCGAGACACCACCTGACCTCTGATGTCTGTTATCACCTTTTCTCTTCCTCTTCCCCTCTCTGTTAATTGCTCTCTTTTCACCTCCTAATAAGCCCTCCATTCACTTGTCATCCTTCTTCCTCACCTGTCCTTCACTGATGATGAAGAATGTGTCTCCGGTGGCTCCCTGACGGATAATGTAATCACAGTCGCTGTAATGAGTCTGAGAGAGGGCAGAGAGAAGATGTGAATCATATGTACACCTCAGATTACTGAGCACAGCGTTTCTAACCATTCGTATTTGTCAGATGGAAGAACAGATGGCAGAAACAGATACTGTGTGTCTACGAGCTTATTATAGAAGTGTTTTTTTTCTCGAATCGTCACCTCCTCCAAAACATCAGCCAGTTTGCTGAGAATGTCCTCAGGTAGAGACTGGAAAGAGGGAACGCTGCGGGGAGAGTTTACAGTGAGAGATGTGAGTCATTCTCATGTGGAGAGAGCTTCAAACAGTGAAGTGGTGAGCATATGTGTGAGCTGTACCTGCGGAGGAAGTCTGTGTACTGGGAATGTTTGATGAGACCAGTTCTCATCATGATGGTCTGGAAACCCTGTCGGTCAATCGCCCAGAGCTTGATGTCAGTCAGAGCTGCAGACATGAGGACAGAGACGGACAGAAAGGTGACAGCAGTGTGGATAATTTTAATTGTGTTTTACATCAGAAAAGATGCTGATCATGTTTTCAAACCAAATGCATCACATGAGACTTTAAATGTACAGACTGACTTCATTTGTTGTCACCTTCACACGAGGAGTCCACCTGTCTGGCTGGGACAGGCATCTATATGGGACGGACCTTTAATAGCTGTTGCACAAAACTTGCTAAGCAAAGATGGGAAATACTATCAAGTTGTTTATTTAAATCAGTAAGACTATTACTTTGGTCATTGAATTACAAATTGAGTGCGAATAATTCATTTGATCTAGCGCTGAGAGACCCCTATCAAAATACTGGTCGACTAACTTAGAAAGGATAAATGCTGAAAAAAATTTGGGGCAGCAAAAGGAAGAGAGTGAGACCACTTTTATTTTGTTGCCAGCAAGGTAACGACAACAAGCATACCCAATAACAAGATGCAGCAAAGAGAACACATTGTGATTCTTATCATCAGTGGACCCTTAGGCTGCTGTCAGCCCTAGAGTCGTCTCCTTTGATCTGAATCAGGGACTCATGTTGTCACAAAGTTGTATAATTGCCTAGAGTAGGTTCGTGTTCTCACAGCAGCATTTACAAGAGGACCAGATCAAATGCCTTGTGTGAGAAAGCTGCTCTTGATTGGTCAGAATTTCCATGTGGGAAAAATCCAGGAAGTAAAGCAAACGTTGAAGAAGAGTACACTTGCAAGATAAATGTGACACTTTCTAACGTCACAATGGAGGGACAACTACGCAGGTTGATTTTAGCGCTGCTCATCGTGGACTATATTGCTGTCATTGTTCATTTTAGTCAAACCATACAGTTTGAAAACGAGGCGGTGTGAAAGCACCCTAAAAGACTGAAGAAACATAAATAGGGAGTGGACACATTTGGACTTTATAACTGCTTCAAAGGTATAGACTGTAAAAATAATGAACGTAGCTGAAAGACACAAAATCTCCCCATAAAGCTGAGGGGAGGTGCAGAGTTGGTGATAATTCTCTGTGGGTTCTTTCTCATGACCCTTTGATCAACTGTTAATGTAAAAAAAAACCTGATGCTTTAATGCTTTAAATCAAGAACTTTTTAAGAAGGAAAAACTGCTGCAGTCCAGGATAAGATTAAAGGGACCTAGAACTGGACTTTCTCATTGTTCAGACGTGCAACAAAGAGTGACTCATTTCTTTAGTGCTGATAAATGTGCTCCTTCTCTTTCACTCACTGGGATGGCATTGAGCGACACAAGGACACTCACAGAGAGAGGCACACAGACAAGAGAATAGGTGAGTTCAGGACCTCATTTAAAGTGAAATGGATTGTAAAGAGATTTTCTTCTTTATACCTCACACAGCCAAGAATGAGGGAGAGAGCTGTAAACAAGTTCTTGTCAGAGATGCTAGAAAACGCACAGTTTTATCAGTCAGGGTTTAGGCATCCCTCCAGCACATCAAAGTGATACACACACACACACACACACACACACACACACACACACACACATACAAATCAGATTGACACGGCATTTAAAACCAATCCATCACCTGAAGCATGGCTGTCAGCCAGGGAAATAAAGGGATTTGAAATGCAAAGTGTAAACATGCAGAGAGTTACAACATCAACAGGGAGGTGAAGAGTGAAGGCCTGAACTATAGCCAGGGAGTTTTCATCTCTAAGACACAGTGAAATAAAAAAACATAGTTGCTTTTCCTTATTTTATGTCATAATGTTAAAATGTTGGATGTACCTCAGGTTTCAGGCTGTTCTGAATACTCTGTTTCCAATGTTTTTTCTACTTTTAAACATGCTAACGTCAACTCATGACAGATTTCTTAATGGCCATCTGCTCCAGGCATACTCTGCTATTTACATTCCATACACTGCTACATGTAGCTACATGCTAACATCAGGGAATTGTGTGATCTTGGTTGCTGATGTTGTTAATTTCTCGCTGATTTTGGATCATATTCCTGCTGGAACATGTGTGGTTTTGTCTCTGAGCTTTTATTGGTGATTTCTCACAGGAGAAATTGCACTATACACAGTCATCCCTCAGCTGCAAGTTCATTGCTACATGTAGCTACATGCTAACATCAGGGAAATGTGTAATCTTGGCTCCTGATGGTGTTAATTTCTCCTCGATTTTGGATAAAAATTCCTGCAGGAACATGTGCAATTGTGTTCAAGAGCTTTTATTGGTGATCTTTCACAGGAGAAAATGTGTTCAACAAAGACATTCCCTGTCTGCAAGTACACTGCTACATGTAGCTACATGCTAACATCAGGGAAACGTGATGTTGGTTGCTGGTGTTAATTTCTCCCTGGTTTTGGATCAGATTCCTGCTGGAACATATGGGATTGTGTCAGAGCTTGTATTGGTGATTTTTTCACAGGAGAAAATGCATTATGCGCAGACATCCTCTGCCTGCAAGTACACTGCTACATGTAGCTACAAGCTAACATCAGGGAAATGTGTAATCTAGGATGCTGATGTTGTAAATTCCCTCCCAATTTTGGATCATATTTTTACTGAACATGTGTGGTTGTGTTTAGAAGCTTTTATTAATGATATTTTACAATTAAAAGGTCCGCAATTCTTTGTTAGTCATTCCTTGGTTGCAATGATGATGCAGAGACACTGAGATACAAAGACTCAGAATGTCAGCAGACTGGTGCTAACAGTTGCTAAAATGGAGTGCATCAGATAGAATTTGGTTATAGATGTTCCAGCACTGACAGTATGAGGAAAAAATTAAGTGTTTTTGAACATTAAAACATGTAAACATGTTCTAGTAGAAAAACCAAAATACAAGTATGAACAGTCTGTGAGTCAGATCCATCCCTCGCTCCTTCACAGCTACACCCTCTCATCCAAATATGGTCACTTCTGGCTCCAAAAAAACCAAGATGGAAATGAAATGCTGATCTAGAGGCTTCAAACAGGAGTCCACAAACCAATGGGTGATGTCACAGTAGCTATATTCATTATTTTATACAGTCTATGCCTTAGAAGCAGTCATAAAGAAAAAAAGCATGTTCTATTAGAAACCCAAATTCCAAGTATGAACCTGAAAATGTGCAGAATAGGTCCTCTCTAATGTCTCCTATGTCCCTGCGTAGATTATTAGGGCTTCTTTTGATCAAGCGGCAATCTCTGGGGCTAAAACAATGAAGCCAACATGGAGGTGCCAAAAACTGCAGTTCCTATAATGGCCACTTGAGGCTGGCTCCAAGAGAAAGTTAATCCCATACACATCCATGTTAAAATGCCAAATTTTACAACAGAAATAAACATGTTTACAGCCTGGTACACACAAATTTTGATAAAACTCACCCATTTATAATTTACTAAGATTTAGAGCTATGAATAATTATGAATAATTCTGTGAGTGACAGCCTGTCTGCCGACAGTGTCCTTGGCTTCTCAGTAAGAGCCACCCACTTGCCCAAATATTGTCACTTCTAGCTTAGAAAACAAACAAAAACATGTCGATGGCCATAATGAGATTGAGACCGTGAAATGGGAGTTTGAGGTTAGATCGGGCCAAAAAAATTTTTTTTAAGGATACCAACGTGGACATTGAAGGCTGATTCTCGTCTTTCTTTCCATGGCAAGCCTTCATCATGTGCCTAAGTGTAGAGGTCCCCATCTTTTTGCTGTCATATGCCAGTATCGTGCTGCCCTTGGTACACTCGACGGAGCCGACACACATGTTGTCACCGTGGACAACTCACATGTGCGTGGCCAGTGGCGCCATCAAGGGGGCCCCAGGTGTGATAAGTAGTTGGTTCCATAACCTAGGTCTATTATGAGGAGCCTGACCCGTCCGAGCCCGAGGATAGTGGCGGGAAATTACGGCCTGACCCTGCCCAAGGGTCAGGTCGGGTCCGGCGGGTTCAGGCTCGGCAGCCGAGCCTTCAAAGTTTTTTTTTACACATACATGGAAATTTATGTTGCAGGTTAGCCTTTAAAGGGTCAGTTTACCCATCTAACAGGAAAAGGTAGCACGCACATACCAAAAACTTAATGCTGGGTGCTGGACCAAAAGGTAAGTATGAAATAAAAGATAAAGTCCGCACACCAGAAGCTGCTCCTTGAAAATTTATTTAGACGTAACGACAGACAATAGACAATGTCTGATGAAGGGCAGGAGCCCAAAACGTTACGTCTAAATAAATTTTCAAGGAGCAGCTTCTGGTGTGCTTTTATTTCAGTTTACCCATCTCACACTCACTAAAAAACTCTTACTGATGTTAGTCGATCAATGTTGATGGTGTCTCTTGGATGTACTCAGGTCTTGAGATACTAGTCAGTCAAACATTCAGACACATCAGAGGAAAAACCACGTTTAAAAAAACTGATGTCTCTCTAAAAGCAGTATGTGAGAAGAATGTGTGGGCTTTTTTGTGAGTGTGTTTTCAGGTGAACTGGCCTTTTAAAACATGTGAAGACTCTCAGACAGACTGGAGTTTATTAATCAAAGGAGAGAAAAAGATTCTGCATGGGTGATGTTTGTGGTCGACCTTCATCGCAGTTTCCATTTGATACTGGATGAAATAAGTTCTTTATTCTCACAGCCTGAGTTTATTTCATTTCCAACACCACTGATGGATGTGCAGTAGTGGCCTTCACCAGTGTATTCAGGGTCATTGATTGGACAAAATCAAAAGCAATTTTTGCCATTTCTGAACACCAGACTGCTGGAAAAGTAATGTGTTTTTGTTGGTGACAGCTGGGGTGTGTTGGCGTGTGTTTACCTGTGACAGTTGCTGTGCGAGTGCAGTTGTACAGGATGGCCAGCTCTCCAAACACTTTTCCTGGACCAATGTTGCAGAGCTTCTTCCCTTGTTTAGACACCTCCACCATTCCCTCTGTGAACAAACACCAAAACACAGAGGGCCTTATTTAAAACCATCTATAGCTCATGGTCTAAAGTGCATAGTACAGGTACATGTAGGGTGTGTCCAACTCCAAACTGGGCACTGGTGTGTTTTGGTTGTAACATAGATTGATTCCCATTCCCTTAAAGGGCCCGGACACACCAAGCCAACAGTTGGCCATTGGGCAACAGGCGCTGTGGGTGAGCGCCATATTGACGTTTGGTCGTGGACCTTCCACATCAAGATACAACATCCAAGGTACCCTGGGTGTGTTGGTTATTGGTGTATTGAGACGCCGTGTCAAGTTCAGCCTGTTACATGCATTGTCTTCTTTGAAAATACACTTCTTTTGTCACAGGAAATTTAAAATTTACATACAGTCTCTTTCAAAATAAAAGCACTAAGTCAGTACAACAACATAAATTGTTGTTTTTTTCCCCTCCAACAACTAACACACATGGTTGGGTTTAGGAAAAAAGAGCAGTTTGGCTTTATACTCTTTTGGGACTCCCGGATGAAAGTCATTGTTTGTTGGACCCAAGTCATTGAAATCCGGCGCTTGGGTAGTGTCTTACAGTATCAGAAACCAACAAAAAAAGCCGTCCTTTAACTTCAGCATGATACGCAGCCGGTTGCCGTTAAAGTTACCAGTGCCTGGTGGAGTCAGATGGAAACGTGGCGGGACAAGGACGAAAGTCAAGGTGGAGAAAGTCTGAGTAGGGCGGGCAGGAGGGGTGGTGAATGGGTCCAACAAACACCGACTTTCACCCAAGAGAGCAGCGTTCACGTCCCATTAGATTCTGAAGCCAAACCCTGTTCTTTTTTCCTAAACCTAACCACTTCCTTTTGTTGCCTAAACCTAACCATGTGTTTGCTGATAAAGAAAGGAGCATCAATTTGTGTTGTTGTACTGACTTAGTGTCTTTATTTTGAAAGCGACTGTATGTAAATGTTAAATTCAATTGAAAACAGAGGTGTATCTTAAAAGAAGAGAACCTGACATGGTGACCCAGGACGTCAACAACCAAATGCACCCAGGGTACCTTGCACATTGTATGTGGACATGAAAAGTCCATGACCAAAACATCGATATGTGACAAGGTCGGAGTGAGAATGTGTTGAACTGAACTCTGGATCAGTTGGAGTTTGTGAAGACACTTGAGAGATGTGCTTAAATATGCTTTGTTCTGTCAACATCTGGTTGTGTTGGTAATGTGCTAACTGGCTTACGAGCATCTTGAATCCGTTCTGTCGGTCTTCCAGTTTCCCTTATTGATTGATGTATACAGCCTACCACCACCTGCTGCTATGGAGAGTTATTTCCTCTCCCACAGGCGCAGAACGTACGTGCAACTTGGCCTTTGGTTGTAGTCTTTGTGGTGTATTCATGTGCATCTTTTTGGCCGAGACACAGCAGACACAAGGCAACACAACTGTCCGCCTTCATCGTCTCTAGTTGTTTGATGTTGGTTTGGTGTGTCTGGACCTTCAAAGTAAGATACACCTGGTGTGTTGCTGTTTACTCAGCTGATTTCGGCAAATTGTAGACGCAGGTTTTCTGTGCAGATGAGTAAAAAAGCAGTTTTTTAAGGAATGAGTGCTTCATGTTCTTTTTTAAAAACTGTACTTCTTCTCTTTACTCTAGTAAATTTTAACCTTGACATAATGATGAAGGAGCAAAACTCAGAACAAGAGGCAGCTTCCAGCGATCCCTGGCCAAATCTGGCCACACTTTTTATACCAAAATCGGAAAAGACACCAGTTACATGATGAAGTGCTCGCTGTGCCTCATGAAAAACACAAAGTCGGGAGGGTTCTCACAAACAAAGATGGCAATCCATCCAATTCTTGTCGATATTTCAGTCCGAAGTGGTGGACGGATCAACAGACATTGCCATCCCTATAGAACTATAGCCTGCATGGCTGAAACCGCATTGACTGAGAGCAGAGAATATGATGTGAACAAATCCATCCTCACTAAACCACTTCAAGGGAAGCCTTGAATTTAAAAGAGGATTAAGCTTCTGGTAAGAGCTCAAAGAGACTAAACTGAACAATGTGGGTTCATCAGATTTAAACAGCTCTCATGTCGACAGAGCTGAAGGACCAACACAACAACACAGCAGCAGCAGACGCCTCTCAGTGTGAAAGACTGGCTGTCCTTGAGAGGGAAGAACAAGCAGAGTGAAGTGAAGGTGTCAGGAACATATGACTGAAGCTACAAGTTTCTCTGCATGTATTGATGCAGCATGTGTGCGAGCAGCCAGTTTAATCACTTAACACACGAAACACCGACCAGACACTGACCTCACCATGATCTCACCTCAGCTACCGGCACATTACGCGTCTCCTCCTGCTATTTTCTCCACATTGTACTTGGTGTCACATAATGTCTCTGATGGAGCCTCTGTTTACTCCGACTGGTGCCGTCTATTTTGTAATCTTGTGTTGCCTGTGCTCAGACAAATAGGCTGTCTGTCTTTATCAGCCCAGTTCAGTGTCTCACCTTGGATTACTTTTGTCCCACTAAGCAGAGCAGGATGTTTTTTCTTGCTTTAGTGGCAGCTTTGGTGTGTCCCTTCAATACAAGCATACTGATAAGTAGATAACAGATTGCAATGTTTGGATGTTTGTTGTCCTGAGGATGAACCGTAATGCTTTTGGTGACTTGTTCTTTGGTGGCACAGTGAAATTCATCCTCGTGTCTTTGCTAAATATTTGATTTTAGAAATGTTACCATGCTAGCACAAGCAATGTCGGAAGAAGTCTTCAAATCCTTTACCAAGTAAATGTACAGACTCCATGCTTCACTACAAGTCTACACATCTTATTTAAGTAACTATGTATTAGCAATGTACTTAAAGGCTCTCTAAGTCTTCCTAAGCTTCAAAAGTTTTTGTCACATACAGCAAACATCTCCTCACGATCCGCTAGCTACATGTCCTCTGAATATGCTGTGAAAAAGTCCGGTCTCTGTAGGGAGCCCAGGCTCCGCAAATGGCAACAAAAACATTTGGGCGAAAGCAAGCACACACACATGAACGCAGTGCCCATGTCTCACGTGTGTGCACACGTGAGCGCGGTGTAGAGAGAGGCAGTTAGAGCTACAGGCTACAATGAGGCTAAAAACAGAGTTCAAACAACTTTTTATGTCGGGGCTTCAGGACACTTGGATCACTACGGACGAGCAGTATGGAGATATTTTGTGGTTTCAATTATGTGTTTTTGGACGTTTGAATCTGGGGCGCCGTCAGCCTCCATTAGGTGGAGTTGTGTTGCTACCTCCTCTCCCCTTGGATCTCTGCAAGTGTTGTGAGGACTCTAAAACTTCACCTGAGCCTCCCTCGGCATATGGGTGAGTAGATAATGGCTGAATTTTCATGTTGGGTGCACTATCCCTTGAACAGGTGTGTAAATCCAGGGTAACTAGCAGCTATCGCTTGTTCACGGAGGACAAGGGGGGGCGAGCTAGCTCCGTTGTGTTTGATAACATTGTTGAACGTAAACAGAAGTGACGCCCAACAGTGCTTAGCGTGCCTTCAAAGTAAAAGTTTGCTAATATAAAGCTTTGAATTGGAGTCTGGCTGTGACGAAAGCACAGACAAGTTTCACTTTCAGTTCAGTTTTAAAGTGACGTTTTTGTGAAAATGCATGTTCTTCTGAAGTACTTAGACACCTCATGCAGTATAATCCAAGTTTCATTTATGCATTCGTATGCCGAGAGTTTGTAAATGGATGTTGTAATATAGTTTTCTCCACAAGATCATGGCAGGACAGAGAAGCAGCCATGTATGGGGTGCCGTTTGTAAAGTGGCTCACGCTGAAAATAACATCAACATTTTGCCACATTTAGCTTCAAACAATGTTTAAAAAAGTGTTGTGAATTTTTTAACGTCACCTTTTACCACATTTACAGCAATATTTGTCAACTTAGAAATATATTAAATAGTTAAATCTAAATATTAAATGTGGCACCTAAATGTTAAATGTTAAATCTAAATATTACATCTAAATCTAAATCTAAATCTAAATGTTAAATCTAAATATTAAATCTAAATCTAAATCTAAATGTTAAATCTAAATATTAAATCTAAATCTAAATCGAAATCGAAATCTAAATGTTAAATCTAAATATTAAATCTAAATCTAAATCTAAATGTTAAATCTAAATATTAAATCTAAATCTAAATCTAAATGTTAAATCTAAATGCTAAAGCTAAATCTAAATGCTAAATCTAAATCTAAATGTTAAATGTTAAATCTAAATGTTCTGGGTGAAACTGAATATTTAGCTAATATGCAAATTCACACTGCCGGTCACCGGAAGTACCAAAATAAAAGCTCAAGATGGTCAGACTGTGTTTATAGAATCAAATATCGAATTAAAACCAACTTATCAGGGGAAATGGACACTTGAACATACATTAGCGTGATAATAACTACCTAAAATAACAAGAAACGTGTTTGGAGAAATTTTATTTGATGTGTACTTTGAGTTGTTAGTGTCCCTTCGGAGGTGTCCTTTAACGTCGGCATGACACGCAGCTGGTTACCGTTATAGTTTAGTGGGGTAAATTGTATGGGGCTGTTTCCGTATGATCCTATGGTGCGTACCGTAGATCCTATGGTTCAGGGAACATGTCCCCTGTGTCTCCCACTTAAATTACGCCCCTGCTCTATCATTTCATCACTGACAGGGGCTCCTTTCAAATTATTATTTTACACATAGTTACTAGAATATTATTGATTTTAGACTTCAGACTTCAGGCTTCGAATTTTTGCATTTTGTTTTGCAGCTTTTGTCTGTTTTATGTCTTTGAATTTCATTGTGTTTTGGATGAACCTAAACTTTCCAAGACATTACTTTGGGCTCTGGGAAACTGCAACTGGTATTTAGACAAATCATCATCATTATAATATCACCTGAAATACACAGTTTCAACCTGACTCTGCCAACAGAGTGCAGAGACCCTGACGCTGATCTTACCCTCCAGAACGTAGACTGTGGAGCCGTCGTCTCCCTCCTGGATGACACAGCAGCCCTTGGTCAGGCTGGTGGGATGCATGCAGTCCATGATGGTTAGGATCTGCACACATGAGCCAATAAATGTGTTTTTAAAATCATGCTACATGAGGAAGATGATGTTAAAAAGCAGCTGTGGTTACCTGCCCGTGCTCCAGATGTTTCATGAAGTCATTGTCCATTAGAGCCCTTTGGATCAGCTCACTGGACCTGCAAATACATAAACAGGTCGTACATGTGCATCAGTGTGTGTGTCCATGTTTATATATGTGTGTGTATCTGTGTATGTGTGTGTGTGCTCACTCTTTGCTCTTGCAGTAGCTTTTGAGTGTGACGCCAGTGAGCTGGGAGGGGTCCAGCGCTGTGGGCTCTGCAGAGATGGCCTGTCTCTTTATGCGCTGTGGCTCATCAGGTGCTGCTGGAGTCTGAACCAGCGCTCCTGATAAACACAAACAAAGAGACGATATTCAAGCAGCACCTGGTCTGTCATTTCATCCATATGCATGAGCTGCTCAGTCCCCGTTAACCCCTAGTTCCTTTCCCTCTCTGAGACCTACTGTTTACAGTTTACTGAAACTGGAATACTTCCTGGAAAAGTTTTCCCCTCAGCAGGTGTTTTAATGGAGCTTTTTTAAAGTTTCATAGCAGCATAAAGCCTTAAGTGTCTCCAGAGGAAGCTGTGTGAAGTCTGATGAATGTCCTCGAGTGATGTCACTTGAGTCAGTGTCAGTTGACAAGTTTGAAAAGTAAGAGTAAATCTGGAGGTTTGGAGTACAAAAGACGTGAGACCTCTGTCGCCCTCTGCTCGTCTCTGCTGCAGCACACATTAGCTGCTATGAGCCAAACACAATCTACCACATAACTTCAGGCAGGATGAGTTGCATTGTGGGTAGTGTAGGCACTAGGTTTGGATGAGGAAGAGCAATGTGTGGAGTAAAGAAAGGTGATATTTCTGGTTCTGCTGCATCAACTCTGATCCTTTTTTCAGCTGTCCGTCGTCTAATGATGTTGAGTGTGATGTTAAGAGTGCAATGCCACACAAGTGGGAGCGGACTCCACATTAAGACCCTCATCAAGTCGGGGGTGCGTATCATTTAACTGCAACGTCCTGAAGTTTGACTCTGGCCAAGAAGCTTTGTTGCATGATTTACAGTATCGGTTTTTCAACCTATAGCCAGAAAAAATGTTGTACGCTACATTTGCACCTTATTATGTAGTGAACATGTTAAAACGTAACGTTTCAACAATGCTGTGGTTAACATGGTTAGGTTTTGGCACAAAAACCCTTTGGTGATGATTGAGGTTGGTTGAGGTCATGTGGACACGCATGCAGTTCTATCCATAGTTCAACTGAGGGTTCGCTTCAGCCCCCAGCAGTAAACGGGAACGCTGGGAGGTTAGCTTAGCATCTCACTGCCAACACTGGGTGAAAGCAGCGTTGCCAGGTGGGAAATGTATGATTATCGTACCAGAGACTCAAAATTATCGTATTTTGAGGGACATTATAATACATCCGTCATAACCAAAATAACAATCCTACTGATGCGCTATAGGCAAATATAGTCACTCTAGTGTTTGCTTTTTTGGTTTACTTTTTTCCCATTTTCCTTGCTTCTGTTTTTCCTCTTCTTCTTCTTCTTCTGTTTTGAATCTCATTCTCGCTCAACTTCCTGACGGGTCCTAGCGCCTCGTGGGGCGGGTACAGCTGACCATTCAGCAAATCGTGCTCAATGTTCAGAGACAAATGTCACCCGTATCTCACGCTAAGCAAAGTGCGATTGGCTGGAAATATGTCACATGGGAACAGATGCCTTCAGGGCTCACAGAAAAAACTCTGGCATACTGATTACAACCACACATTCATGAAATCGTCAAATTATCGTACATTTGGCCTTTTTTGGGATTATTGATCATACATCGTACAGAGGGCCAAGTTATCGTACAAATGCGATAATTATCGTACACCTGGCAACGCTGGGTGAAAGTGAAACTAAACAATGGTGCTGGGTCCGGAGTGAGTTTCTGTCGAATGTCCAGTTTAAAACTAACTTCACCGTGGGGATGGGGCTGTGGCTGGCTTGAAAGCAGTGTTTTGAACTGGACTGGAGTGTGGAGGAAGAGACTGGAGCATGTGCAGTCAGTGTGCTTGTTATGCCTACAGTCCATGATGCATGCACACATCCACACATGGATGGATGACTGTTGGAGCCATAATGTAGTTTTGTTTGTCTATTCCATCCTTATCTAAACAAGGTAAATATAAATATACACATGCAGTTCTGAAACTGAACATAGGGTGGAGCCTTCATGTGTGAAGTGCATGTAGGTGAGCTCCAGGTGTGTGGAACAGGAGGCAAACAGTTTTTGACCGTGTTATGTAAGTGTGTCGTGTAAGCATCAAGTATCGATATCACAATGAGGTCTGATCACCAAAGACTTTTCACATTTCACATTTCACATTAATAAAATTACTTGTTATTTTTTATATTTTGTAGGTTCCTCTAGCTACTGTCTGAAAATGTAACAACAAGGGGGCAGTTTAGGTTCAAATACAAGTGTGTTTATCTTTGCAACTTCAAAGCAAATCCAGTTGAAATAAAACACGTCTGCAGAACTTGTGAATAAAATGGACAAAATAAAACAGGAAGCAAGTGTGTGGGTGCATCATGAATATATAATAATACACTCCTGGTGGATATTTATAGGAAGTATTTTTAGGGCGGATAATTAATGATTTAGCATCTCCAAAAAGTCTGTTCCTGGGAGAGGGTTAGAGGATAGTGAAACGAATGTTTAACTGAATGAATGAAATATGAAAACTCACTTAACTTGGTGTCAGGTAAGGTTTTTGTTGATGTGGGATTTACATAACCTCAGTGTTTGTTTAATCCTGCCCTGTCTTTGAATGATAGGACCTGTAATTCCACCTTAATCTGACAGGTTAACACACCTGTGCTTCCTGTGTCCACAGTGTTGGCTGCGTGCTGCGAGGCGCTGCGATGTCTGTCCAGCTCGATCTGCAGCTGTCGGATCAGATCGTCCTTTGTGTCCAGCTCCAGCTCCAGCTCATCGATCAGAGAGTCTCTCTGACGGAGCTCCTCGATCTTCAGCTGCAGAGCCAGCTGCAGGTCCCGCAGGGTGCCGGCACTCTTAGACACAGCCATGTACAGATACATGTACAAGTTCTGCACAGGAGGAAGAGGAGGGAGAGTACACTGGTTACAGCTGGGGAATGTTGTACTGTAGTGGAAAGTTACTAAAGACATTTACTCAAGTGCTGTACTTAAGGATAAAATTGAGGTACTTTACTTGAGTATTTTCATTTAATGCTATGTTATACTGCATCTAATGGAGAAATATTTTAGTGGAGACAAGGGATGGTTGTAACAGCCAGTGTTCATTTTGACAGATATTTTAGATTTAGTCTTAGTCTTGAGATGAAAATGCCTCTTAGTTTTAGTCACATTTCAGTCATTTTTATCCTTCGTAGTTTTAGTCTAGTTTTAGACGATGAAAATCCAAAACATTTTAGTCGGCGAAAATTCATGACAGTTTAGACGATAAAAACTCAAAACGTTTTAGTCAAAGAACATTCAAAACATTTTAGAAGACGAAAACTCAAAGTTTTAATAGACGAAAACTCAAAACATTTTAGTCTACGAAAATTCAAAGCATTTTAGACGACAAAAATTCAACAAGTTTTAGTCAACGAAATTCATGACATTTTAGCCATTACTTTTAATTAATGTATTTTTTTTTTAATTAAATCTTTATACTAATCCAGTTAATCCATGTTAGTCTGGAGGTTTAAACCCGTGTGTGATTAAAACTAAACTTTCATCTCTGTCAGAGAAAACTGATCTGAGTTCAAACTGTTTACTTACAGCACAGCTACACTCACAGATAACTGAGCCATAAACCCAGAAACCTTCCTGAGACTTTCCAGATCTGAATGGAGTCCGGTGTGGATCAGACGTGAAGTCCGCCGACCAGTGGCCACTTGCTCTGCTGCCATTCAGAGGCTAACAGACGGAGCTAGCTGCTAACAGCCACCACTGCAACAAACAAACTCCACAAATCCTTTGAGCAGCTCCACCATCCACAGACGGCTGATTATGTTCTGATGAAATGCAGCTCATAACTTGCACCAACGGCTGACACTGCTCTGGTGTGAATGTTTTTGCTGGCTAGGGAAACGTCCTGGTGCAGACTATTTACTGGAGTTTGCCAGCCTGTCGATCATGCAGCATTTGCAGATAATTATGTCACTGTCTGACAGTCGATCATGAACATCTTCATCTCGTCTTGTCACATCAGTGAAAATGAAGCACAGATTTCTTAGATTTTTATTATCAAGATTTATTTTTAGCTTGTCAACGTCTCATTTTTGTCACAGAAAAAAGGTTGTTGACGAAAGATTTTTGTCATAGTTTTCGTCAACAAAATTAACTTTTGGTAACAGCATCACTTTCACCAAGAAGGGATGAGCTAAGGGTCATGTAATGTGTTTCTTGTATGACCACTTACTTCTTGACCTTACATGTCTAATTTCATGGCTCAATAAAGAAGATTTTACTGCTACAACACTGATTTACAGGTCTGACAGCTATTTCTGGACCGAGTCTATATTTTTATGACACTGATTTTACATAAGTTAGGATTATGTAACTTGTATCAGATTTAGAGCGTGGTCTCTTGGGTAAAATTAGAGGCTTTCATCTCCATTCTTTACAAACCATCATGCTGCTTCAGCTCGCTAAACACTGGCTGATGGGCCGGTATGGTTGTAACACCTTTTTAAAAAGGTTTTAAAACTCACCCCAATGACAACGAAACACATTTTCTAAATCTTTTTTTTTCAGCATGCCAGGAGAGTCAGTGAGAGAACTGACAGGGGTGTGGTTGCACACGTACTCTGCATCAGATGAGGTGAAGTAGTGAGAGACAGGAAGGTCTGTCTCCAACGAATACTCCATCTACAATGTGACATTCAAAGTTACCTAAACCTCAAAGGAAGAGGATGAGCACAGCTGCTCTATGTGGGCGATCACAGCAGTCTGAAAGTTTTCAGTGCAGAGCAAGAGGAAGACTTGACCGGATACTTGACTGAGGCAGCAGACTTGTATATTGGACTCAGCCCACATGAGGTACTCAACACCTGACAGAGACAGGTTAGCCAGTTTGACCTTGGTAGGAATTGGTTATTAGTGTATATAACTGTTTTTCAATGTGTATTTTATGCAATAGATAGGGGTACTTGGTGTCAAAATCTGAGCGCTCTAACGTAACAACCTGGTCTCACTCCGAAGTCATCGAAATCCAGCACTTGGGCAGTGACTTGCGGCGTCAGACACTGACGAAAAAGCTGTCCTTTAACGTTAGCATGATACGTGGCCGGGTGCCGTCATGGTTTAACATCACACAGCAACACAAGAATGAAAGTTAAGCCGGCAAAAGTCTGAGTATGGTAGGTGGGAGTGGTGGTGGATGGGTCCAACAAACACCAACTTTCGCCCAGGAGAGCGGTGAAGGCATTCTGCAAGATTCTAAAGCCAAACCCTGTTCTTTTTTCCTACACCTAACCACGTGTTTTTATTGGCCAGGCCACTAGATACTCGCTAGTTTTCAGATACTGGATGAGGTACTCTTTTCCTGAATGTGCCGTTTCATTGAGGTCATCTTGAATGGCTCTAAAGACGCATTCACACCAGGATAGTCCGGGGGACTCGGTTCGTTTAGGTGGGGAATTCTGAAAAATTTCACACCTTCATTTGGTTCGGTTCACTTTCACACTGTGCTTTTTAAAGCGGACCAAACTGCCTGGACAACGTCATGCAGTTACAACAGCTGCTCGTTTGGGGACGGTATTGCCTGAAACGACCACTGACCAGGAAGAAAAAAAACACGAGGAAGAAGAAAACCCGGCTCATCAATTGGCCAGGACAGAAAACGGAAATCCATCCCCTTCAGCGGGCTTGGTCACCACAAAAACACCAAACACCAAAATGCAATGTGTTCTACATCACTTCCTCTTTGGTTCACTTCCTCTCTTTGGTCCGTTTGCATTTCCCACTGTAAGCGAACCGCACCAGGGTTCACTTGCAAGTGAACCGAGACCCCCAGTTTTCAAGTGGACCAGGGTTCGCTTGTTTGGTCTGCACCAGAGTTCGTGTGGGCCTTCACACCACTCCAAACTAACTGAACTATCCGTGGAAGCGGACCTGGGTTTGTTTAAAGCAGACCAAATAGCACCAGTGTGAATGCTTCCTTAGTCTGGCCCCTCCCCCAGGGACCACTTTGCTTTGGAAGACCCTATCAGGAGCTATTAGCCCCAGACAATGATTATGTAGACATGCACACCCCTCTGCCACATCAAGGTTGTGATTCTTGGAGGGGGGCTATTCTTTACTGGTCCATCTATGTCCCAGCCCTCACCTATGGTCATGAGCTCTGGGTAGTGACCGAAAGATGAAGTCGTGGATACAAGCAGCCAAAATGAGTTTAATCTGTAGGATGGCTGGGCGAGAGCTCTAACACAAAAATTTAGCAAGTTACAGGTGCTGAGACGAAAAGTGTTACAACCAGACCTGGTCTCCCCTACTCTCCACTGCACTACATTCATCTGACTGCTGTGATTACTTTTACTTTAAACTACCCAGTAAATTAATTCAGATGCTGCTTAGACATTAACGGCACATACACACATGATATGTGTGTGATATGAGTGATATGAGCACTTTCAAATTTAATACTTGAGGTACAATTAGCTGCCAGTACTTGCAGATTTTTAAGTAAGTAAGATTCACCCTCCAGTCACTCAGTTACAATACTTGAAGTGTGCGTAAAGTTGTTCACTTGCCTCAGTAAATATTCTATTGACACTCCATGTGCAGTCTATAATGAACTTTAGTTTTCAGTGTGTGATCTGAGGCTCTGCCCCATAAATTTATCCCGTACTCACTTATTCAGAGAGAAGTCCGGATCGTTGAGAGGCAGCTGATCAGAGAGTCCAGCCGGAGCAGGAGAGCCGCTCCTCGGTCCCTCTCAGGATCTGATGCGGTCTGACTCTTAATTTGAAATCAATAAATGACTCAGTTATTATTGGAGCTGTTCACACATAAAGGCGCGCAGGTGACGCTGCGGGTCCTGAGACAAACATCATCAACAGCAGGGTGAAGCAGAGTGGGAGCTTCAGGGGATGAAGAGACGCGCAGCCGCGCACAGCTGAGTTTGACAGCACTCCTTCAAAATAAAAGTCATAGCGTGGATTTATTTTGAAGGTCTGGAAACTGTGATCAAAATATGAAGAAGACTCTGAGAGTGCTGTAGTCCTTTGTTATTCTCAATTCTTATTCTTATTATTAATAAAAATAATTAATAATAATAAAAATAATAACCGATTTATTTATTTATTTAAATCCAGGCATCATGTCAATGCCAAACATGTTTCCCAAAATAATATCCTTAACTTATTAACGTATACAGTCTTTGTTTAATGATGTGATTTAAGGATTTTTATTTGTCCCACAACAGGATGTACAATGAAATGTGAAGTGACAAACATCACAATACAACAAAACCCAGTGGGTCATAAATAGGGCCTATATTAAAAATAAAAAATTATTTGTACTATATAAAGATAATGTATATTATAATAACAACAGAATATGCAGTAAAATAGATGATGTTAAACCGTATAAACAGAGGATTTAAGGTTTAAATTAAACCATATCTTAACTTTAATTTACTGACATGAACAATGTGCAAGAGGAGAATTTAAAAATAAATATTGTGCAAGTAATATGTACATGAAATGTGAATTCATAGAGATGAATCAATACATTTATCTCATCCAGTGGTGGTAAGTGCATTCACTCAAGTAAATGTAAATAAATTAATAAATATTTGATTGAGGACCTGTACACTATTTTTCAGTATTCTAATTCATTCTTACCAACACCACTGCTGAATGTATACTTGACATTTGATGCACATATTGTATAAATTTCTTATTCTTATTTCTATATTTGTATATATTGTAGTGTACATCGTAACCTAATGCTTCTTTTATTTTTCTAAAACTAGTTTTATACATGGTAATGAAACTGTCGCATAATACATATATTTTTATTTTATATTTTAGATATTTTTTAAACACTTCACACACTTGACAAATATATTTTATAATTATATATATATATGTATATTTCTCTCTGATTGTGGTTTACATAATTGTATGCACTTCACACGTTATACTCCATTACATTTGTCTAACTGTAGTAGTTACTTTGTAGAAAATTTAATTAACAAATTAAAAAAAAAAGAAAAGAAAAAACAACAAGCATTATGAAATAAAATGCATTATTATGCAGTAAATTAAACCACCCAACAGAATATACAGTGAGTCAAATTATCTCACACACAGCTGGCTGCAATATTAAAATGTTACATACACAGGCCTACATGTTGCGTAGTTAAGACTTTTACTATGACACTAACAATGCTCACAATATTATTATTTTTATAATATTATATTTTTACTAGAAACAGAGTATTTCCAAATTTTGGAAACGCTACTTTTCCTTAAGTAAACTGTCTAAATACTATTTCCACCACTGATCTTATCTTGAACTCCTGAGACCTGAGCTTTTGTTTGGTATGCATTTTTAATTTCTCCTAGCTATTTGAAATTCCTAGGACCTGATAAATATAGAAGAAACAAATGATTTTCTTTAAAAAGTGAATAGTTTTGAAAAAAAAAAACTTTAACATGAGGTCCTCATATGTGGACGATGGGTTTATTTTTAATTACAAGTGTATAATAAAGTATAAAACTGTTGTTGGCTGTGCAAAAATAAAATTATGACAATGCAACTTTTGTTCAGTGTTTTGCAACTCTGTGGGTTAGAGGTCGCTGTTCAAGTCTAAAAGTGTTCAGAACTGTTCATGGCAATACGTGGACATGACTGGGCAAAAGCAAACATGCACATAATGCAACATTTCTAAAAGCCTTATAATTTGTTTGTTTTATTACTCTGCATGGATTTTCATTGAGCCATAAAAAGGTGTCTTTTTTGTCTGTGGGAACAGTCTGTCACACCTAATTGGCCTGTGATGATACAATAATAAAGTCCCAATGCCCTCAAATAAGTACTTCCCAATCAACAGTGCCTTGGCTTGTTAAAAAAAGTAATAATAATTGTGCCTTAAGTCACTTTTGCACAGGAATATAAGAAAAAATAAAAAGCCAACCCCTCAATACTGTGTGTCTATGGTAGTCTTTATTGTCCTAATTATATCTTATGTTATTTATTTACATGTATCCATATCAGTTTTACAGTGAGACAGTTGTAGTCTATAGTTGTAGTTCTGCCTTCCGCCGCTGGGTGGCAGCAGCAGCGCACCCGCACCGCTTTTAATTTCGAACCGGAAGTGCTTCTCCTTCACCGGAAGCTTCACAAACCTCACCACAACAAGCACGATGGCGGCGACGGACGGTGAAAGAAAGCATGAAACAGGAAAACTGGGATTGTATCCTTTAATATGAGCTCAGGATATTTATCTGTTCGTCATGTTCGTGTTATAAAGTCCTGTTCTGACGTTTATTAACGATAAAACACCGCGGTAGCTGTTAGCCATTAGCCTAATGCTACATGTTTCTATAGCTTCTTTAGCTCTGTGGTTTCACTGAGCGGCTGCTGCAGAGGAACTGGTTGGATGTTGTTTTAGAGTGAATAGTATTTAGTTCTTGGTCCATGTTTTGACCCCAGCTGTCTGAACAAGTTTGTTCATGTCTGCTGAAACTTAATGAGGTCATTAGGGTTATTATATTTCACTTAAAACTGGCCTGACTCATGCAACAATAACACTTTACAATATAAATAATTAATAATTAATAATAATTTGTAATATAAATTAAAGAAGTAAAATAATAAGAGATTTAAATGAGTAGTTGCAGGTCTATCAAATAGTGTTTATATGTGTGTTTGACATGTGTAAAAGAAGTTATTAATAATATATATTCACTTTTAATAGTACACTTTTATGGATTACCAGTGGTGGAAGGTAACTGAGTACATTTGCTAGTTAAATACATGTACTTAGGTACAAATTTAAGGTAGTTGTACTTTACTTGAGTCATTTCTTTTCCTGCCACCTTACACTTCTATTCCACTGTATTTATCTGATTGCTTTAGTAACTAGTCCCATTGCATTCATTCATTTATGTAAGTTTTATGGTATGTGTCCTGCTATTTCTGGCCTATCTCACATGGGATATAAGACACTGTTACATAACAATCATCTTCTGGTCTCAAGTGTGCAGAACAAAATAAGAGGAAAAGAAAAGAAACAAATCAAATGCAAAGGAAGTACAAAAAATGTAATTAAATAAATAACAAAAAGACAAAACATCTCAAAATGAGGAGAAACCACAACGCCTTTACGAACTATCTTGATAAAGACCACAAATTAACAAATTAAGAGTTTATAAAATATAATGTTTTGTCATAAATTAAACTACTACTAAACAGTTAGTACAAGTAAAGCTGAATCGACAAGTCAATTAATCAAGTAACTAACTGAGAGAAAATGAACTGGCAACTATTTTGATTTTACATACAATTTCAATGCAGGACTTTTAATTGTGACAGGTTATTTACACTGTGTGGTATTAGTACTTTTACATAGGTGCAGGATCTGAATACTTCCTCCATCATTGAGGATTTCTGTCCTTCACTATTGATTTGAGTGCTGGATCTGCCAGTTTCTGTCATAAATATCCTCCTCCTCTTCTTTTCGTTTGACACTGTTAAACCAAGTCATTGATTTCGTCGTTTCTGTTTTACAGTGTAGGCTGTGTGTGTTTGCATATGTTGACTCTACTGTCCAAAATCAATCAGTATTGGAATGTAACTAAGTACACTTACTCAAGTACTGTACTCAAGTACAAGTGCTTCTTTCTTCTTCTACTCTCCTACACCTCAGAGGGAAACATTGTTCTTTTTACTCCACTACAATTATTTGATAACTTAAGTCAGTACCTACTTTACAAATGAAGTGCAGCTGAAACAAGTGCATGTCGCCCTAGGTTTTGCATGGTGTTCAGGGTTCCCACAGTCATGGAAAACCTGGAGGAGTCCTGGAATTACCTAGTCACATTTTCAGGCTTGGAAAAGTCATGAAATTAGGAAAAAATCATTGACAGGTTTGGAGAGGTCATGGAATTTTGTTGTGTGTAATGAAATTTATTTTCTGTACCTGATGACGTAACGTAGCTCTGATACGCGTCAATGTGTGACAGTGTTTTGTTTACCAACACGTCCGTCTTTGTTTTCTCCCAGTGTTCCGTCTCTCCCTACATATATGCCAGCTGACTGAAATTATAATTTAATAGAGTTTGAATCTGATACGTTTGAAAGTGTGTCAAGAAAAAGAAATATTCTGGGTCTTTGAAAAATCATTTTGAAGTATTGAAAATTTGTCCATGATAATGTATAGGAACGTTGTGTGTCCCGCACCGTCGGGCCCTTGTTGGCTTTTTGTGGCTGGTTCAGCAAGTTGAATCAGTGTCTGAAATGGCGGAACCTGTCTGTGAATGAAATCACTCTGATTGGCAGTTCAGCTCAGCGCACGAGAAGAGAAACAGAAGTGAGGAAAGTAAACAAACAGCTGAAATCAGCAGGGCGTGAGAACGAAACAAACTTGATACATGAGGTTTTTTTTTAGCCTGTGAGCTCTTTAGCAGAGATATTGCGTAATATCGTAAAAACTGCTCACTAGTGCACAGTAAATATCCTCTGTTCTTTCAACACTGGGTTGTGTTCTTAATGTGCTAACTGGCTAACTAGCGTCCTGTCAGTCATCCGGTTTCCGTTTTTGAATGATGATTTGAGAGTTATTTCCTCTCAAGCAGGCGCAGAACGTACGTGCTAGTTGGTCGTTGGCTGTAGTCTTTGCGGTGTGTTTAAGTGCAACTTTTTGGCTAAGACACAGGCAACATGAGGTGACGCAACAGTCAGCCTCAGTCCTCACTAGTTGTTTGATATCGGTTTGGTGTGTTTAACCTGGCTTTGACAAAACAGATTAAAACTAGTTATATTTAAACTAAAACTAAACCTTCCAGAAAAACTGAAAGTAAACTGAAACTAGCGAACACACTCTGAAAACACTCAAAACTCAAAACTCAAAACTAAAGTAAAATAAAAACTATTAAAGTTCAGAACTGTTATGACCTTGATACAGAAATAAAAGTGAGCTTTGGCAAAGACAGTTTGGATTGGAGCACAGAAGATGTTTGTTGTGTGCAAGATGATTTTGTGTCTGTCTCTGGGGTGGGGGGTTTGAGACTCTGAGGTCCTCTGGTCTTCCTTGACCCTGCTGCAGCTCTCTGGACGTCCCCTTCCCGTCGTCTCGCGAAGCAGTCATCGCTCTGCGCTCTCTGTCCCCGGACCGCGAGCCGAGGAAAGGCGGCATCAGCAAGCAGCTCACGGTGACGGGCAGCACGCTGTCTGTGTAAGGAAACACTGTCAGACCTCTTCAGGCTTTAATCTGACACTCACAGGTCTGTGATTTAACTTCCTCTTCGTGTGTTTATTTCAGGAGGTGGAGTGCAGACGAAGCTCGGATCCTCAGGGTGTCTGTGAACTCGTTTCTGGATCACCTGTCGCTTGTCATGGAGACCATGGAGGCGTTCGGTCCCCCTGTTTCCCAGTGAAGCCCGACACATGATTCAGGACTATTTTCACCCTCTCGTAGTCCTCTGGAGGATTCAGTCGTGAAACTGTGAGGATTGAAATGGGACGTTTGAGCAGCTGGCAGCTCAGACTGTGTGGTGATACTGTTTGGGATTGTTTGCTTGTTTAAGTGGAACAAAGAGGCCATGTTGTTGACTGTGGCTGGGTTTTTATTCAAACTTCCTTGTAGTAAATAAAGTCTGCTGCTATATGATAGATCAGATCAGGGGAATATCGGCTCCACTGGAGCTGAGACAAGAAGTTGATTAATCCACAAGTTGATGACAGGAAACTAATCGGACACTATTTTCAAACAAAAACTGGAAATAGTTTCTGGTGCCAACTTCTCAAATATGAGTTTTTTTAAATGTCAGTACAAATATGATATTGGACAAAAGAAGTCATTTGCAGTAGGGATGTAGTAGCGATCTCAAAAGATTGGTTTGGGGGTCAGTGAAGGCATTTTTTTTTATTTGGTTGGGATCAGCTTTATTGAGTCTACAGAGCCTCCGATCCTTCATCATGCACAGCAACGCACAGTGCAGCCGTCTTCAACTCTCCTGAACTCCACTCCCACATGGATGTACAAAGAAAGCCCCGCCCACTGTATAACACCGCATGCCAAAAATGACATCAAAATGCAGTATGCTGATATTTATGTAATTTTTTAAAAAGTTGTGAGCACTTTCATTTCAGTTCAGTGTGAGAGTTGCTGCCATCTTTGGCCTATCGTGTTTCACTGCTCCGCTCAGAGAGGCAGACAGTGGTGCAGAGCTGAAGACAACCACACTCACCAAACTGCTGCAAGTGTGACTAAAAGCCCTTCAAGCAAAAAGCCAATAAAAGGAATATATTAATGTAGCCTGATCCATGCAAGCGTTGCACAGACGATTTAAGTAAACACTCACAGTTCATTGAGGTAACTCAGACAAGGGTGCACTGAAGCAACAAACTCGGAGAAAGTCCAGTGTGTAAGATTTAGTAGAAACATGGCAGTGCAACATGGCGGTCTCCATAGACAAGGACCTACTCCCTATGTAGATATTAACAGCTCATTCTAAGGTAATGAAAACAATACAGTTCTTAATTTCAGGTGATTATACACAAAAGAAACCATACTTAGAATATTATATTCACTTTCTGTCAGTATATCCCCCTAAATCCTGCACGCTGGACCTTTAAAGGGACAGAAGTTCCCTCAAGACAGCAACAAGGCCAAAAACTGATTTAAGAGAGTGTTTTTTTTATACTTTATTTTGTAGAAAAATAAATACATTTAAAAAGTATTGAGGAACAGCTTGTATGCAGGGATTTGCTTTTCTTAATGCTTTGCAGGGCTCTTTTACTGTCAGACATACATTGGACTGATTTTAATAATTTTCAACTACCTGAAGTTTGCACTGTGCAGCTTTATTGTCTATATCTAGGAAAATATTGGCAGATACTTAATATTTAATGACTTAAAACTCAGTCGGGACATCCCTAGTTTGAAGACGTCTTCTTGGTCCCTGGGATGGACATTTTCCTCAGTTTGATTCCCTCTAAAGTAACGTTTGAAATTGAACTTTTCTTGCATCACCTAGAGGGTGTTAAGTTGCTTTAAAGTCACCTGAAGTCATCGTCCACATCGAGCTGCTCCCTGTGTAAAGTCATGTTAACGTTGTGCCTCTGTTGACTCACTTTGGTTCAAATTAAAATATGTCATCAACTGTTTGTGATGATGTGGTTCATTATTCATGTTCCCCTCAGGATGAATCGTTTAATATACCTCTGACTTTTCATCAGACGCCTTCATCAGATCAACATTTCAGTGTGTCCAGTGCTGTATGGTTTATGATGACACTCCCATGGTCAGACCAGCAGAGGGAGCTGGAAGATAAGAGATAAGAATCACACACCTTTTTGTGTTTGTTTCAGAGCTACACAGAAACTAAAAGTGACTTCTGTCCCAGCAGAGGTGAAACAGAAACATGAAGTCTGTGTTTAAGTCATCACACCTGTCTGTCAGCCATGTAGTAACAGGTTAATCAGAGTGTATGTGGTAGACAGTGTGAGGTTTGTCTCTGACAGGATATCAGTGAAGAGGAAATGAAGCTCCACAAAGACTGGCAGAGTTATAATAAAAACTTCTCCTCAGATGACACACAGATCAAATGTCTTTGTCTCCTGGAAACATTGTTCACTTCTTTTTCACAATAAAAGCATCGAGTTACTCTGAAAGGATTGCAGTGATTTACTTAATGCAGACGGTAATAGAATGATTTCTTCAGAGGGTTGAAACACAGATCGTATTCTTTCATTTGAACAGTTTAATCTTTGGAATAAATACGGAAACTCATATTTCTACATGTGTGGATGTGTGTGATTTAATAATAACAAAGGAGTGTAATCAGATATTTTATTCTGTACAATGATACATGATGCTCTTAATGTACATGTCAAGATCTTCTGCTATAGAAACAATGAATCTTTTTTACTGAAGAGGAAGAAATGTGTTTGCTATGTGATTCAGACTGAATCCGTGTTTTAGATAGACCATGATGAGCAGCAGGAGCAGCCCTGTGCAAAAACCAGACCCCCTTAGAAATCTCATCAACTTCTGCTTGTACAACAGGCAGAGTCAGTGGCAGAGATTCATATAGGAGAGGTGAAAAAGCTGAAGGTTAATGGCAAAGAGGACACATCAGGTGGATTATATGCAAGACGAATTTACCACCACATCTGTACTGTTCTGTAATGACCACAGGTTTGAGCCTGGCACGTGCGTGTGCTCGGCTACGTGCATGAAAATCTTAAAATGTAAACTTTCCCTATGCGCTTCCGCTCTAAGAACGAGTTCAGCAGGAGAGGAAGCTGTAACTCGAGCAGTAACTGCATGTTGCTCGGTTGGGTTAAAAAAAAAAAAAGCAACAGTCCCAAAATCCTGATTCACAAGGTGCACCACCCGGCTGGCACGCTCAGTGATACAAATCAAACGCACCCGCCAATGACGCCCCACAGGTGCATTCTGGGTGTGGCTAAAGAGATCATGGATTCTTCAGGTGACTTTTGTGTTTGGTGAGAAGCTTGTGCCTCCAGTAAGGTGTGTGAGGATGCTCTGCTGTTTGCGGACTGGTTATACTGGGACAGAGAGGCTGAGTGGACCACAGGGACCAGAGACGTTGAACCTGGAGCAGCTCCTTGAGGACCCAGAGGTGCACATGGCTCACAGAAGCATTCAGAGAGGTAACACACTCACTGGTGGTGGTTTCCAGGCAAGGTTGCATTGTGTGCATGTGCTACAGGTCATGTGAGGACAGTTTGCTGTCATAGGGTTGTAACATGACATTTTCATGGTATGGTAACCATCTCAGAAAATATCACGGTATCACGGTTTTACAGAATTATTGTTATTGATATCAGTCAAAATCACCTTTACAGGAATTAGTGGCTTATTTGATTTTGTTACATTTGAAATTAAGGTGAGACTCTCCATCTTGTTGAATCTGTTTTTCTATCATAGATAAGCAAATGTACACTGTATGATAACTGTTCATTTTCATACAACGGTATACCTTAACACGACACATTGCTTCAACCCTGTTTACTGATATATGTGTGTGTTTATCTTGTTGCTGCTACATCTGTGTTGTTGCCTTGTTGATGTTTTATTCTACTGTTAATTCCATAAGCAGTGTTGTGTGATCCAATTTATGTGGATTAATAATGTTTGTTGCGTCCGCCGTGGTGTCCATAGACTTAAATCATCCTTTGTTATTTTAGTTTAATTGTCTGGGTTTCGTCTCCTGTCTGGTTAACTCGACTGAGGCTAAACTAAAGAAGGAGGGTGCATATTTAAGGTGGAATTATATGGAATAAATATGGCATATCATACTTCTGTTGGTGTGGATTTGTCCCCTTTAATCAAGAAGAATAAGATTCTATGACGATACTCAGAGGTCCATTGTGTACGATTTAGGGGCATCTGTTAATGTCCACCCGATATATCAGTTTGCCGAATTTATTAGTCAATATTGGCCTTTCACAGATACGTTGGTATCAGTGTATGTGTTGTCCAATATATAAAATGTGTTTTTTTGTACAGAACATAATCAAGTAAAAGATCCTTTGGAATAATTTACAATAATTAAATTCTCTACAAAGTTTACTCTTTCAGTGCACTGGTGTTGATTTGACATTAAAATTTTATCGTACTGTAAAATAAAATAACCTGCCTTCATTAAATATCGTTGTCGTATTTGAGGGGTAATTGCATTGTATAAATAGATGTATGGAGATAGATAGTAGGGGTGAGTTCGTGTAGAAAAATCTCTAAACGTTTAGAGTGGGTCATTTTTTTCGTGTAAACGTGTACACGGGTTTCACCGCTGGGTGGTGCTATTGCATTATACCAGTAAAGCCCCAGTTATCCGAATACCTACCTAATGGGCCATTTAACCAACAGTTACAGGCCGCCACTCCGAAATATCGCCATTCCGACGGTCCGCCATCCAGAATTCTGGTCCCTGAGTCCTGACAGTGAGCTATGGCGAGCCTGTAGAAGCCGTATTCCTCATGCATGTCAGCGATTTTCATCAGGGACGCACGTGAGTAATTCAGGCTGACATTACCTGTTTTTCAGCGAACTCCTCTGGTAATTTTATTAAAAGGCATGGCATATAGGTCCACAGTAACTTATTATTATTATTATTGGGTCTTATAAAAGTGGACTACAATGAGAACCGGGCCATCAAATCACAGCATCCGCGGTGAGAGGACACGGAGTTGTGTGCGCTTTTACGCACGTGGGTCAAGGAGATAACGGATATTTGATGTGGGAAAGATGTAGCCAGATGTATTACCTGTTTTTAAGTGGCACCGAGATACGTGGCTCGTCTGTCCGTCTGTTCATAGCATGAGTCATGTGCGCCACTTCACCACCGACCCGTACATAAAAGCGCAAACAATTCCGTGTCCTCTCACCGCGGATGCTGTGATTTGATGGCCCGGTGCTCATTGTAGCCCACTGGCGAACGACCCCCTTTAACGACCGTGCCGCTTTAATAGAACGGAGCACGTAGGCTACTGACCTGTTGCCAAACTCGGTCTCACACCATTTCTTGTCATATTCACAGTCTATCACAGTTAGTCAACAATTAGTATCACCCCCCTCCCCCCCTAAAAAAAAAAAAAGTGAAAAAGTGTACTAATTTTTCAGAACCGTTTATGATGGAAAGAACACTTTTTTTTTTACTGCTTTGTTCAGTGTTTTTACCAGTTTAAATTACCTGGTCTGTTTTTTTTGGAGAGGAAGAGACCAAATGAACACCAAAGGAATTCTAACCAGGAGAAGTTTCAGTTGGTTGCAATCTACAATCTTCACCACTAGATGCCACTAAAACCCCCTATATCTTACACACTGTTCCTGTAAGAGCTCTGTGGTGTGATGCATATATGATGACATGGTAATGCACTTTGTTTGAAGCCTGAATGTGTTCTTTAGTTTAATAATCATATAACATCGTTACATGCAATTACTTCCATGTTTATTTTATTTAGAAAGGGACAGTGCACACTAACGTAAAATTTGACTTTTTATCCAATGTTTTAACACCTGTTTGTTCAGTCTGTCTACTGGTTTAGTGTAGTTTCACCTGTCTGAGTCCAGCTGGTCAGACAGTTGTTCATGCGTGGAAAAAATCATTGCATTGAAGAACAACTTTGAGGCATGTGTCGTTAGGTCGCTCCTAGTCTCTATATACAGACTCTACATTCAGTGAATGCAGAGTCTGTAGGCAAACCCCGGAGATCTTGCCTCCGGAAGAAGAGCGGAAGAGCCCTGGTTTCCGGTTGTAGGCTGTTTGTAGTCCGCGTGATATTGATCAATCACGTTTGAGCCGGCTGCAGTTGTTGCCAGGTTAAACGGTCCGTGCAGTGAACTAACGAGGCGGAACATAATTGGTGTCACTGCAAACTCTGAATCCATCGCAATGGTTCAGAATATTTACTTATATATAAACGGAAGTCGGAAAAGGAAATTAGCCTCCTCCGCCCAAATCAAACCGGAATGCCAAAAAATCAGGGGTCTTCATTTTCATGCAGATCGCTCAAACTTCCTAGGAAGAGATCCATTTGAAGTGTTTTTCAAAAAATTCAAAATGGTGGAAAATCTGTATAAGCGGAAGTTATGGGTTCTTGAGGAAAATTTGTTCCTCATGAGGAGAGGCATCTCTGTGCAAAGTTTCATGTCTCTACGACATACGGGGCATGAGATATGCCCATTCAAAGTTTGACATTTCAATCGGTTGCTATAGCGCCCCCCTTTGGCCAATTGATGTAATGTTGCTTCATTGGCATCCTCCCATGACCCTCTACCACTGTGCCAAATTTCACATGGATTGACCAAGTCAGTGAGGAGAAAAACATGGAACAGACACACACACACACAGAGTTTTCATCATTATATAGTAAGATTCTTTTCGTCCCTGTACAAACGTAATGACAGAAATGCTGCTAAAACTCCAGGAGCTTCTTTAATTTTGCTTTTTGAAAGATTTAATTGTTCTGTTTATTTAAATCTTTTTTAAAGCACACACTCCTAAGCTTCATCATTTCCTCTCAGAAGCACAGAGAACACAGTTTCATCCTTTTATATGGAGGTAATTTCCTTTATAGCACAGACGAGCATTGTAACTGTGAGTAATTATCTATTTTAGGAGAATCATATTCTGTATGTTTGAAGCTGCTGAATGGATCCAAAAGCAGAAAGGAGGTTGACAAAGAAATGAGTCACATGAAGAGAAACCAGGTTACATGAGCTGTATTCTCTCTCTTTATTTCCATGTGTGCGTGTGCATTAATGTTCATTATTGTTGCCCTCTGCAGGACAAAGAGGCAGAATATCAGGATACATGACTGACGGGGAAAAGGCTCGCTGGGCAGCACAAAAGCTCCTGTGATGATTGACAGGGTCTTTATTTGTTACTCTAAAAAAAAAAGAAGCAGTGTATTTTTAACGGTGGATGGTGGGTGAATAAAATGCAGGATCATGTTTCACATCCTGTGTCTTACATGTGGATTTTAGGCTTTAGATAATGAGACTGGGATGAGAATCAGCACCTCCAAGTCTGAGGCCATGGTCCTCAGCTGGAAAAGGGTGGATTGCCCACTCCAGGTCGGGGGGGAGGTCCTTCCTCAGGTGGAGGAGTTTAAGTATCTCGGGATCTTGTTCATGAGTGAGGGTAGGATGGAGCGGGAGATTGACAGGCGGATTGGGGCGGCGTCAGCAGTGATGCTTAACTGGTCCGTGTGGTGAAGAGGGAGCTTAGCCAGAAAGTGAAGCTCTCGTTTCACCGGTCGATTTACGTTCCAACCCTCACCTATGGTCACGAGCTCTGGGTAGTGACCGAAAGAACGAGATCGCGAGTACAAGCGGCCGAAATGAGTTTCCTCCGCAGAGTGGCTGGGCTCAGCCTTAGAGATAGGGTGAGGAGCTCAGACATCCAGGAGGGACTCAGAGTAGAGCCGCTGCTCCTCCACATCAAGAGGAGCCAGTTGAGGTGGTTCGGGCACCTGGTAAAGATGCCTTCCGGAAGCCTCCCTTGGGAGGTGTTTCAGGCATGTCCAACCGGGAGGAGACCTCGGGGCCGCCCCAGAACACACTGGAGGGAATACATCGCCAGGCTGGCCTGGGAAAACCTCGAGGTTCCCTCGGAAGAGCTGACGGAAGTGGCTGGGGAGAGGACTGTCTGAGGCTTCTTTGCTGAGGCAGATGCCCCCGCAACCCGGACCCGGATAAGCGGAGGACGACAGTACGAGTATGATAGTGAGACTGTGGTTTCAGTTACATGATACATGATACATGATATGAGACAACAAGGGAGGCTGAACTTGCCCTAAAATTCCATAGAAGAAATGGTCAAATATGCACTATTGAGCAGGTTGTTTTCAAGGAGGAGGAGTTCCTTATTCAAACGTTCCTTCACCGTTTGTACAGTATAGTTCAGGATTTTAAACCCATCTGAAAATCTCTAAGGTGTGTGTTGCTGTGGTTCTATAGCATGAGTGTGGTTGAAAAACAGCTTCGATTAAATGTTCCTTTTATAAGTTACTGCCTCGCTACTGTATGACACATTTTATGATGTAAACTTAAAGTGAGCTTCCCCTGTTTGAAAGACCAGTAGCCACCACTGGTGCTTTCACACCGACCCTGTTTGGTTCAGTTAAAACGAACTCAGGTCCATTTGTGCTGTCAGTACGGATTGTTTAGGCTGGTGTGACAGCTGTCAATCGAACCCTGTTACGGACCAAGCAACTGAACCGAGACTGCTCGAAAAGGTGGGTCATGATCTGCTTCCAAACGGACTCTGGTGCGGTTTGTTCGTGGTGTGAAAGAAAATGAATCAACCACAGGATTTATAATAACAGATATGTGATTTTAGCAACAGCTAAACCGATAGTAATCATCTGCTGATCGTGAAATCTCGTCACACTCATGTATGTAATCACATTAACAACTAACCACAATCACCATTTTCTTTTGTAGTTGTCAAATGACTACAAACAGTTCATTATCTTTTCTACTCAGTTTATTTCTACAGTTGTATCTAAAAAAATGAGAATATGCTACTTCTTGTCAGTTATTTCAGAAACTGATGATTGTTTATGTTCTGGAGTCGCACAGTCCTGAGAAGAGCTCTAATCAGCTCATTAACTAGAAACGCCTGCAAAGGTTTCCTGAGCCTTTGTTTTCTCAGTCTGGTTCAGTGCACACCACCACATCATGGGGAAGACTGCTGACTGAACAGTTGTCCAGAAGACACTCATTAACACCCTCTGCAGGGAAGATGACCCACACAAGGTCACCGCTCAAAGGAGTCCTCAGAAGTTCTCTTTTCAGATGAAAGTATATCTGGAGGAAGAGTGGAGGGGCACAGAATCCAAGTTGCTTGAGGTCCAGTGAAGATTTAATGTGCCATGTCATCTGCTGGTGTCGGTCCACTGTGTTTTATCAAGTCCAAAGTCAACACCGTCGTCCACCAGGAGATTTGAGAGCACTTCATGCTTCTGTCTGCTGACAAACTTTATAGAGATGCTGATTCCTTTTCCAGCAGGACTTGGCACCTGCCCACACTGCCCAAACTACTCCTAACTGGTTTGCTGACCATGGTGTTACTGTGCTTGCTGGGCCAGCCAACTGGCCTAACCTGAACCCCAGAGAGAATCTATGGCGTCATGTCAAGAGGACAATACAGACGAGCAGAAGGTCGCTATCAAAGCAACCTGGGCTTCCCTAACACCTCAGCAGTGCCACAGTAATTAACAGTGACCATATTTTGTGCAATAGGAGCCCCGACCAAGTATTGAGTGCATAAATGAACAAACGTTTCAGAAAGTCGACATTTCGGTTTTATATATTCCTTCTTATGTAATATTCTAATATTTTGAGATACTGGATTTTTGATTTTCATGAACTGTAGGTCGTAATTATCAAAATTAAAACAAGATAAGTGAATCTAGAATACATAGAAGTTTAAAGGGATAGTGCACCCAAAAATGAAAATTCAGCCATTATCTACTCACCCATATGCCGAGGGAGGCTCAGGTGAAGTTTTAGAGTCCTCACATCCCTTGTGGAGATCCAAGGGGAGAGGAGGTAGCAACACAACTCCACCTAATGGAGGCTGATGGCGCCCCAGATTCAAACGTCCAAAACCACATAATTGAAACCACAAAATATCTCCATACTGCTCGTCCGTATTGATCCAAGTGTCTCACGCAAGCGCACCGTGAGCGCGGTGCCCAGAGAGGCAGTCAGAGCTACAGACTACAATGAAGCTAAAAACAGAGTTCAAATGAGGTTTTTCCAAACAACTTTTTATGTCGGGGCTTCAGGACACTTGGATCACTACGGACGAGCAGTATGGAGATATTTTGTGGTTTCAGTTATGTGTTTTTGGACGTTTGAATCTGGGGCGCCGTCAGCCTCCATTAGGTGGAGTTGTGTTGCTACCTCCTCTCCCCTTGGATCTCAACAAGTGTTGTGAGGACTCTAAAAATTCACCTGAGCCTCCCTCGGCATATGGGTGAGTAGATAATGGCTGAATTTTCATTTTTGGGTGCACTATCCCTTTAACTTTTTGAATTAAATTAAGGGTAAAAAAATGAACTTTTCCATGATATTCCAATTTCTTTAAATGGACCTGCATGAGCAAGTGCAATTTTCTGCTGATACTCTTTCAACTAACTAAAAAAAAACCTTAGTTCAATCTCCCAGTCTGCCATAATATTGTTATCGTGCAAGTTGACACCATGATAAAGATTAAAAAATGTATTGTTCTGCTCCACTGCCTCCTACAAATCTTTCTGGAGGAAAAGAACAAAATAACAAAACATACATATGATTCTGTGATACTGTGGATCATCCCTTTAAATATCACTGTAAATTGTTATATTATTAGAAAATAAGAGAAAAGTGAGTGAAATATTCACATTTCATCCCAACTGTACCTGCTGGCCTCCAGCAGTGAAACATATTCTATTAACATGACAGTGAAGGCCACACAACTTGTTAAAAGTGCATTTTTTTGGGGGTTGTTTTCAAACAAGTGAGTCATCATGGCTGACATTTAAGCATCATCCCACTTACACAAATGACAAGTGGCTGTAAAAGCAGAATGTAAACCACTGCTGTGAGTTAACAGGGAGGCTGAAAGCAAACGCTGCATACATCAGAATAAATGTGAGGACAGAGGTCAGTGTTTAAAATGTCACACGGGGATCTGTTGCACAACCGCAGGTACGACAGGTTAATAAAGGAGGAGGCGTCGATGATGAGCTGCTGCATCTGGAGGAACATCTGCAGAGGAACAACACGTCAGCTGCTGAATAACAAGCTGCAGTTTGTACGACAGGAAGGAGGGCGAAGTAATATAAGGTCAGGGCAAATAAGCTGGTCTTGTTTTTTTAGGTATTCAGATTTATTAGGAATAATATCAGTGGTGCAAAGTACATTTACTCCAGTACGATTCTAGTTTCTTTATACTTTTACTCCGCTTTTTTACTGAGAATTTAGTGAGAAATATTGTACGTAGTTATAAAATCTTATTTACTGTGAAAGATTCTAACAGATGTTCTCAACCTTTTTATCTCTACCAGGCGTAAGTGTGGAGGGGATCATGTGCTAAGTTATATGTTAGTGTGTGTTTCCGTCTGTCTGCAGTCAATCTCACAAACTACTGGACCAATCAGCCTAATATTTTGTGTACACATTTATGACTTTATGCTCAATGACCTCTCATGGTTGTGGTCGTTCATAATTTGTTTTTTTGGCTGCTGACTCCTCACTCCTCTTAAATGGCCGGTGGGGGCTGCAAGTTCTCCTGAAATCGTCTCACCTGAAATAACAAGTGTAACTGTCTGTTACAGGTCACATTTGGCCTTCGTCGTAGCTCAAAACTGACATTCATAGAACTTGAGAATTTGAACTGGAGCACCTGCAGATTAAAGGCCTGTCCCAATACCCACACTTCCCCTAGAAATACCCACTTCACGTTTAGGGTAGTGGTGTCCCAAAACAGAACTGAGGTAGTGGAAGTGGTTTCCAACACTTAAAACCCGCCCTAGATTCCAAGGGAGCCCCGACCCACACTTTCAACGAAGTGGAAGAGGAAATTTCCCAGAACACCTTGCGAAGTCAGCAACTTCGGCAAGTTTTGGAAAACAATTTGTTACTGTATGATCGGAATGTAGGCTACACAAACAACAGATGGTTGGACTAGCGTAAACTCATCAGCAACTCGGTTGAACACAGCGTCAAAATATTCAAACAAATCGACTTACCCGAAGAAAATTGACCAGAACTAGAAGACGTCGTAGGCGCCTCCTGTTTTCAGCATTTCTTCTCCATTGATTCATCAGACAGAGGACAATAAACATAGCACAGGCCACAACACAAGTGCTGGAGCCGGCATTTTCAAACCTGAACGACTACCGGTATCTTGCGTCGCTACTACACATGACGTATGCCTGCACGTCAGCCACGCCGATTTGCATGA